AGTGGGGGGACGAAGGGGCCGTGGAGGAGTAGGGGCTTGAGAGAGGAGCTGAGGGTTCTCGGGGCACCTGCAGCCCCGGTTTTAGCAGCCGTGTGGCAGGGAGGGGACCAGAGCCCACCTCGCCAGACCCTCCAGGGGCCCATCCTCAGTGGAAGGGCTGCCCATGACACAGAAACCTTCCCCCAGGAGGTAGTTTTCTTTCAGAATTTCTTTATGTTCTGTCTTGAGCACGTGTGAACATGGCTGCCCTCCTGTAGATGGAGGGCTAGGGTTAGTCTTTCTGCTGGGCTGCAAAGCCCAGGCTAAGAAATTAGCCTTACAAGTGGACCAGGTTTGAGTTGTGAGCTGGGGCAAGTAAAGACCCCCGGGGCAGCTGCTGCAGCCCCTGCCTGGGCGCCGGGCTCTGCCCTCGGGAGGCCCGGCCGGGAGCCGCCGCCTCTCCGGGCCATTGCATCCTCATCTCCCCCTCCACTGCCCAGGCCCCGTGGCCAGGGCCTGGCCTCCGACTCTCCTTCGTGGCCTCATCGTCTCCCCTGACCCAGGGTCCAGGTCCTGCTGACCACTCGCAGGTCTGCAGCAAAGCGAGTCCCCAGGCTTACCTGCCTGGTATCCACAGCACAGTCCCTTCCACAGACACAGACCCCCAGGCCAGCGCTCCCCACCCTTGGCACCCCGCCACCGTGCCCCCAGGTCTTCTTCCTACACGTGTCCTGGGGGGCCCACGCCTGCCCAGCACAGCGGCCCTTGAAAGCGTGTGGCACGCATCTCTGTGAGGGGAGAGGTGGGCACAGCAGACTGGAGTGGGCCAGGCGTGGTGGCCTGGGGGCATTTTGGGGAGGTTGGTGCCTGTACTGGTTTCCTTGGACCACCTCAACGACAGACCACAAATTGGGGGGGTTAAAACAACAGAAATGTGTTCTTTACGGCTCAGGAGGCCAGGATTCCGAGAGCAGGGTGTTGACAGGGCCGTGCGCCCTCTGCGGCTCTGGAGAGAAACCTTCCAGGCCCCCTGGTGTCTGGAGGTGCCCGTGCATCCTGGCGCGTTGGCTCGAGGCTGCAGCAGTGCAGCTCTGCCTCCGTTGTCCCCGCATGTCTGTCTCTCTTCTTGTGAGGACACGGTCCTGTTGGAGTTGCCCGCCCCACACTGTGACCTCGTCTTGACTCTTTGCATCTGCAAAGACCCTATTTCCGAGAAAGGTCACGTTCTGAGCTTCTGCGAAGCACGCGAGTTGGGGGACCCTTCACGCCCGCACAGCGCTTTGGTCCCGAGCTTGGCCGGGTGCTCTGGAGCGTGTCTCGCAGGCAGCATGGCATGTTAGAAGGGGCAGGTGTCGCGCGGAAGCTGTGTGGCCATGGGCCGGCCGCCGCTTACCGCGTGGGTCGCCACAGCTCTGCAGCGCTTTAGCGAGAGCACCCTGGAGTACCTGGCCGACCTGGACCAGGCCCCCGACCCCACGGTCAGGAAGGATGCCTTCGCCACTGACATCTTCAGCGCCTACGACATCCTCTTCCACCACTGGCTGCAGAGCCGGGAAGCCAAGGTATGTGTGGCCCGTAGGGACCTGTGGCCTCACCTAGCTGGCTTTCCTCTTCCACCCCCAGCCTGGAGGTACTGCTCCAGTCACCTGGGCCTCTTCTGGGGTCCTGCGGGTTCTCGGGTGTCGGGGGAGAGATCTGTCTACGTGTGCCCCTCCCTCCCCCGCCCCACAGGTCCTCACAGAGTAGGGCTAGTTTTCTGGGGCCCCAGCGCTGGAACTCTCCCTGCAGGCCCACTCCCTCCACCCCTTTAGGACCCCCGCTCGCGGTAACCCGGGTCTCCGCGTCCAGCTGTGGGGTCCTTGGGGAAGGGCTCTTTGCACATCTCTGCCCCGGGCTGACGGGCGTTGCCGGCCGGTCCGCACGCGAGCGCCTGTCCCTGTGTCCCCCCAGCTGCGGCTCGCTGTGGTGGAGGCCCTGGGGCCCATGAGCCACCTGCTGCCCAGCGAGAAGCTGGAGGAGCAGCTCCCCAAGCTGCTGCCTGGAGTCCTCGGCCTCTACAAGAAGCACGCCGAGACTGTCCACGTGTCCAGGGTGCGTTCAGGAGTTCAGCTGCAGGGGGCACGGGGTCAGGGGGAAGCCCTGGGGGCAGCCAGCCTCAGTGGGGGGCGCGGACAGGAGCCGGGAGCCAGGCCCACCTGGCCTTGCCGCGCGCCCCCTTCCCGGCCCTTCCCCACGAGCGAGCGCTGGGGTGGAGGGCTGGGAGACTCCCGCAGCCAGCAGGGGTGGGGCAGGGCCATGAGGAGGCCCTGACGGCCCCTCTCCTCCCTCCTCGAGCAGAGCCTGGGCCAGATCCTCGAGGCGGCAGCGAGTGTGGGCAGCCGCACGCTGGACGTCCAGCTTGACTCACTCCTGGCTGCCCTGCACGCTCAGGTGGGCTGGGGGCCCAGGGAGGGGTGGGAGCATGCTGGGAGGTGCCTGCTGAGGGTCAGGGAGCAGGAGGCGGGGCTGAAGCACCGTCTGCCCAGCGCTGGGGCTCGGGCCGCGCGACACAGCACAGCCCCGCCGTGCAGGGGCCGGAGCGGGCAGCCAGCAGGCCAGGGGCAGCTCTGGGGCCATCTGCACTGGCTGTGCGTCCCGAGGGCCCGGGCTCAGGTGGAGACCTGCTCCAGGGGTCTTGATGGCTCTGATGGAGAAAGGGCTTCGAGGAGGCTCCGCAGCCGTGCACACCCTGCCCCCCCCAGGTCAGATGAGGGGCATGGAGGTCACGGGGAGCTCTGGGGGGACGTTGCGTCCGTGGGACTTTCTGAGTGGGAGAGAAGAAGGCCGGAAAACTAGAGAGAGCGTGGGCAGGCGGCTCTGTGAGAAAGAGAAGCAGGGAGAGTGGACTTACTTCCTTGCTCCCCCCACCCCCTGGGGCATCTCTGGGCCTGCTCCACTCCCACATCTGCTGGGATGCCAGCCTGGCCCGCCGGCCTGAGCCCTCACCTGCCACACACACGGACGGCGCCCTGCGAGGGCCGGGGGTCGGGCTATGGTAGAGAGATTAAATAGTAATTTTAGTGTGTGAGCAATGGTAATGAACCTGAAAAACTGTATGAAGCGGATAGATTCCTAGAAAAATCTTAAAAATGTCAAAATTGGCAGAGAAGAAATAGAAAACTTGACTAAACCAGTAAAGAAATGGAAACAACATTCCAAGCCCTTCCTTTCTGAAAGCAAACCCAGGACCCACGTGGTTTGAAGGTTGCGTTCTTCCAAACTTTTGAGGGACAACTAATTTCCACCATACACAGGTGGGCTTGGAAATGAGAGAAGGATCCAGAGCTGCCTGATGGATTCTTTGAGGCTGGTCTTGATTCCAAATTCAAGTCAGGACCACACAGAAAAATCTAGGTCTACTACTGTGAGGCTAGATGTGAGGATCGTGTGCTCAGTGAAGGGAGTTGCCCCGCACTGCGCTCCCAGCACTGCGCCCTCAGCACTGCACCCTCACCACCGTTCCCTCAGCACTGCACCCTCACCACCGTTCCCTCAGCACTGAGCTCCCAGCACTGCGCTCCCAGTACACGAGGGGTGTAGGGCCCAGCCAGGGGGGCTGCACAGCGCTGAGGCCAGTCAGCTCACCTCATCATGGAACGAGATTCCCGAAAATATTCTCTGATATCAATCAATGCAGAAAAAGCTTTTGATAAAGTTCAACACCTATTTGTCACTAAAGCTCTTAGCAACCAGGATCAGAAAGGAACTTCTCTAACTTGATGAAGTTTAAATACCCAGACTCTCCGCGTACATCATAGTGAATGGGAGACAGGTACGTTTCCTCTAGTGTCAGGAGTAGGAAGGAGCCCCACTCTCAGTGTTAATGGGGAAAGGAACAGAAATGGGGGGAGTGAGGACCGACCTGTCGTTCATCTTCTCCCGGCCACCCACACTCCGTCCCGGTCCCCTCTTTGCCTTTCCCGAGGCCCCGAGCTCCTCTTAATACACTTAGCGATGGGTGGGTTGCCACTCGGGTCTCCCCAGCGAGAAGGCACAGGCCTGAGGGGGAGGGTTCGCTCTGTTCCGTTCCCTGCTGTCCCAGCACCGGTGTGTGTTACCCGTGAGCACTCAGTAGATGTTTGTTTTATGGATGGTTGATTTATTCATCCAGAAATGCACTCATATATGAACTGAGTCGGTTCACAAATACTAGAACTAAGTTCAGCAAGGTTGCCAGTTACAAGACCACCCTGTAAAAATCAGGAGCGTTCTTCTCCATCAGTAGTGACCAAGCACAAAAAAATGACCATTTACAACAGCAACAGAAACTTACCGTAAAGCATCTGGGAATTCACCTAACGAAGAATGCCTAAGATCTCTATGGAGAAAAAGTTTACAACTCTGAGAAAAAGTGAGAGATGCAGCACAGTGCCATTTACTTAGTATAAAAATGACTGTGTAAAACTATAAAAACAAACAATGATTACCTGTGGGGTGGGGGTGGGGCTTAGACGGGAAAATAAATATATAAAAGCTGAAAAGGCAGAAAAAATGTGATATTTCCTTCTCTTAGAGCTTTCCGTTCATGTCTTTTGTTTTGAGGGCAGGTGGGCCTCTGCGGGCAGGTGGGCCTCCGAGGGCAGGTGGGCCTCTGCGGGCAGGTGGGCCTCCGCGGGCAGGTGGGCCTCCGAGGGCAGGTGGGCCTCTGCGGGCAGGTGGGCCTCCGAGGGCAGGTGGGCCTCCGCGGGCAGGTGGGTCTCCGCGGGCAGGTGGGTCTCCGCGGGCAGGTGGACCTCTGCGGGCAGGTGGGCCTCTGAGGGCAGGTGGGTCTCTGCGGGGCGGGTGAGTCTCTGCGGGGCAGGGGCTGGGTGCAGCCTGTCCACTCCTGGACCTTTTGTCTCCGGTGCCCCTTTGTGGGGCTGTGGGTCCTCCAGGCTGCAGGAGGAGGGCGGGACATTTAGAGGAAGGGTGACTGCAGGCGCGGGCTGGGTGGGCACTGCTGCAGATAGAGACCTGGCCTCTGCCGTCTGACTGCTTTTCTCTGCTGCTGGGGGCCCCCCTGCCCAGGACTTCACACTGCAGTCCCTGAGCCCTGGACGCTTGATGTGGGGCGGGAAGAGACTTACCCAAAGCTGCAGCTGCTTCCCATTTCTCTCCCTGCCCCGTGCTGGGAGCGTGACCATTCCCTGGGCATCTTGGGATGCGGTATTCACTCTCCCACCTTCTGTGTGCGGCCCTCCGCGTGCCTGGGCAGGGGACGGTGCCTCGCGGCATGTCTCTTGGGGGAGAGGAGGGCAATCGTGTGGGAGGGAAGCAGAGGGTCCTGAGACCTGGGGGCTGAGGGGGCCTGGGCCTCTTCTAGCAGCCACCACATTGCCCTTGTCCTTCAGCTTCCTGGTGTCCCTAGTGTCCCCACCAGTCTCAGGGAGACTGCTGGCCGGTACTGAGGGGAGGGAGAGGGAGCATCTAGGCCCGCATGAGGACTGGACCCTTTTTAACCCGCAGCCCAGCCTGTTAGCAGGTGCTGGGCTTCCACCCCAGGCTGCCAGCTAGGGAGCATGTGGTGAGGGCGTGGCCGCACTGGGCAGGGCTCAGGGTTGGGGTTGGGGGCTGGTAGCTAGAGGATTGGTGTTTGGGGAGGGTTCCTAGGGAAGCTGCGTATCTTGCACACACCTGGGGACTTTCCTAGCCAAGGCCTAGAGCTTTGGGCCCCAGGCCTCCCTGTTCACAGTGGCTTTGGGTTCAGGGTTCCCCTGCTTTCAGGGGGCCCTAGGAGGGGCTCCAGCCCCTGCCAACCCTCCTCACAGCCCCCCACGTTCCCCATTCTCTCTATTCCCTGCCATGGTCTCTTTGGTGCCTCTTGCAGGCTCCTCCCAACTGTGCGTGATTGGCAGGCTGCTTGGGCTGAAGGGCAGAAACCCTCCTTGACCTAGTTTTGGCTGAAAAGGGAAATTGTGACAGGATCCCCGATCAGCTGGGTGGGAATCACCGCTGAGCTGGGAATGCAGGAGCAGGACACAGAAGGGGCCGAGGCAGAGCTGAGGGGCTGGGGCTGTACCTCAGGTGCACCGCACACGGGGAGAAGACCAGCCTAGGACAGAGCCCGTGTCGGAGCCGAGGGCTTAGGTACCGGCCCCAGGCAGCTCCTCTGGGAGGCACTGGCCTCGCTCCGGGAGGTGCAGGGCCCTGCACAGAGAGCTGACTCGCGCTTCTCAGGCACTCTGGTCCCAGCCCTTCACGGGCCAAAGGCCCCTGCAGTTCCCACCTGTTGGTATGTCGTGTATGAAGCAAGTGCGTGGGGCCAAGAGACCTGCCCGCAGGCTGCCCTCCTGCTGAGGTGTGCGCCCCTCACCGCAGACAGAACGTTCAGGGTCTGCAGTTGGAGGGAAGAGTGGTCCTGCCTGCTGGAGGGGCCTCAGTCGGGCCAGGAGGGTCCACAACAGCCCATCAGCGGCCTGGGTGGGCCACGAGAGGGCTGGGGCCTCCTGTCCTTCCAGACAGCCTCTGGTTCTGGGCAGATGTCTGTGTCCACTGCCGGAAGGCGGCACAAGTGGGCAGCGGCGCTGGGCCGAGAACAGGAGCACGTGCACACTTGAAGCTTCTCGTCCAGTTTGCAGTACGCTGTGGCCAGGCAGGGGAAGAGTGGGCAGGGAGACCCAGAGACCGTGTTGACATGCCCCAGACAGCAGGGTGCACGGCTGGCCTGGCCACACTGTCCAGCACCAGTAGCGGCCAAAAATCACTGCCCACGAGGAAAGTCTCTGATAGGAAAGGTGGCCGCAAAATAAGCAGAAACCGAGACTTGGAGAAAGCAGACGGTTCAGGGAGGAGAAGACAGGCAGGAAAGGAAATCTGTGGTTAATGTCCTCCGGGAGCTAAGAGAAGATGCGTTCAGGAAACAAGAGCGTGTGGCTGTGAAGAAGCTACATTCGGAGAATAAAATTAAGCTTTTGGGAATTAAAAACATGATGAAAATGGAAGGCAGAAATGGAACAGAAAGTTGAGGAAATCCTCCAGAAAGTAGAGCAAAAATGCAAATATATGGAAAATAGGAGAGAAAAGAATTAGCAGGCTAGGCCATGAAGCCAGCATTCGAATAAGACAACCTGGAAAGAACGAACGGAGAGAGTGGAGTGGGGGAGTCGTGCAATAATCCCCGAACCTGCCCTGCAGCAGGAGCTGTTCCTGATGGAGAGGCCCTCCAGGCACTGCACCAGGAAGACTTTGCAGGGGGGTGGGCAGGGATGGTCCAAGGGGAGGCTGAGGAAATAGGGTGGCCTTGCCTTCTCTCGCTCAAGCGAGAGCGCCAGAAAGCTCCAGTGGAAGGCACCCTCTGAGAATCAGAACCCTGCCCAGATGCTACTTGAGCAGGAGGTAAAGGCTCTTGTGGAGAAGCCACGATCAGGAAGGGTGCGGTCCCACATGGGGCCGAGGGAGCCCCAGGGTGTGCGGCAAGAGATGTGGAGGTCGCCTTGGTGACTCGTGCCTGGAGAGCCAAGGAGACTCAAACCGCAGTGGTCGGTTACTCTGGGAAACAAAGCTGCTCATGGACGGAGTGGGTGGGCTCTGGCAGCGTGGGTCTGGAGGGATGGACGGGAAGGACTGGCCCTGTCCTTGCGGGGAGTAGGTGAGGAACATCGTGGACACGTTATTTATCGAGAGATAGATCAAACCCCATGTTTGCTTCTGGAGCAAGGGAGATTGGGCGGCGGAGGGTGTGTGAGAAGTGCCCTTTACTTTATGCCTGTGTGTGTGCCTGATGAAACACTCAAGCCTAGTAACAGGTCCGGGGGTGGGTTTCTGCTTCTGGCCATATGGTAGCCTGTTACCCTGAAAGACCTTCCCACGCAAAATACCTAGGATCCCTGATCAGTTTGACCAACAGCCTGACTGAACAGCTCAAGGAGGCAAAAGAGTGGGGGGACGAAGGGGCCGTGGAGGAGTAGGGGCTTGAGAGAGGAGCTGAGGGTTCTCGGGGCACCTGCAGCCCCGGTTTTAGCAGCCGTGTGGCAGGGAGGGGACCAGAGCCCACCTCGCCAGACCCTCCAGGGGCCCATCCTCAGTGGAAGGGCTGCCCATGACACAGAAACCTTCCCCCAGGAGGTAGTTTTCTTTCAGAATTTCTTTATGTTCTGTCTTGAGCACGTGTGAACATGGCTGCCCTCCTGTAGATGGAGGGCTAGGGTTAGTCTTTCTGCTGGGCTGCAAAGCCCAGGCTAAGAAATTAGCCTTACAAGTGGACCAGGTTTGAGTTGTGAGCTGGGGCAAGTAAAGACCCCCGGGGCAGCTGCTGCAGCCCCTGCCTGGGCGCCGGGCTCTGCCCTCGGGAGGCCCGGCCGGGAGCCGCCGCCTCTCCGGGCCATTGCATCCTCATCTCCCCCTCCACTGCCCAGGCCCCGTGGCCAGGGCCTGGCCTCCGACTCTCCTTCGTGGCCTCATCGTCTCCCCTGACCCAGGGTCCAGGTCCTGCTGACCACTCGCAGGTCTGCAGCAAAGCGAGTCCCCAGGCTTACCTGCCTGGTATCCACAGCACAGTCCCTTCCACAGACACAGACCCCCAGGCCAGCGCTCCCCACCCTTGGCACCCCGCCACCGTGCCCCCAGGTCTTCTTCCTACACGTGTCCTGGGGGGCCCACGCCTGCCCAGCACAGCGGCCCTTGAAAGCGTGTGGCACGCATCTCTGTGAGGGGAGAGGTGGGCACAGCAGACTGGAGTGGGCCAGGCGTGGTGGCCTGGGGGCATTTTGGGGAGGTTGGTGCCTGTACTGGTTTCCTTGGACCACCTCAACGACAGACCACAAATTGGGGGGGTTAAAACAACAGAAATGTGTTCTTTACGGCTCAGGAGGCCAGGATTCCGAGAGCAGGGTGTTGACAGGGCCGTGCGCCCTCTGCGGCTCTGGAGAGAAACCTTCCAGGCCCCCTGGTGTCTGGAGGTGCCCGTGCATCCTGGCGCGTTGGCTCGAGGCTGCAGCAGTGCAGCTCTGCCTCCGTTGTCCCCGCATGTCTGTCTCTCTTCTTGTGAGGACACGGTCCTGTTGGAGTTGCCCGCCCCACACTGTGACCTCGTCTTGACTCTTTGCATCTGCAAAGACCCTATTTCCGAGAAAGGTCACGTTCTGAGCTTCTGCGAAGCACGCGAGTTGGGGGACCCTTCACGCCCGCACAGCGCTTTGGTCCCGAGCTTGGCCGGGTGCTCTGGAGCGTGTCTCGCAGGCAGCATGGCATGTTAGAAGGGGCAGGTGTCGCGCGGAAGCTGTGTGGCCATGGGCCGGCCGCCGCTTACCGCGTGGGTCGCCACAGCTCTGCAGCGCTTTAGCGAGAGCACCCTGGAGTACCTGGCCGACCTGGACCAGGCCCCCGACCCCACGGTCAGGAAGGATGCCTTCGCCACTGACATCTTCAGCGCCTACGACATCCTCTTCCACCACTGGCTGCAGAGCCGGGAAGCCAAGGTATGTGTGGCCCGTAGGGACCTGTGGCCTCACCTAGCTGGCTTTCCTCTTCCACCCCCAGCCTGGAGGTACTGCTCCAGTCACCTGGGCCTCTTCTGGGGTCCTGCGGGTTCTCGGGTGTCGGGGGAGAGATCTGTCTACGTGTGCCCCTCCCTCCCCCGCCCCACAGGTCCTCACAGAGTAGGGCTAGTTTTCTGGGGCCCCAGCGCTGGAACTCTCCCTGCAGGCCCACTCCCTCCACCCCTTTAGGACCCCCGCTCGCGGTAACCCGGGTCTCCGCGTCCAGCTGTGGGGTCCTTGGGGAAGGGCTCTTTGCACATCTCTGCCCCGGGCTGACGGGCGTTGCCGGCCGGTCCGCACGCGAGCGCCTGTCCCTGTGTCCCCCCAGCTGCGGCTCGCTGTGGTGGAGGCCCTGGGGCCCATGAGCCACCTGCTGCCCAGCGAGAAGCTGGAGGAGCAGCTCCCCAAGCTGCTGCCTGGAGTCCTCGGCCTCTACAAGAAGCACGCCGAGACTGTCCACGTGTCCAGGGTGCGTTCAGGAGTTCAGCTGCAGGGGGCACGGGGTCAGGGGGAAGCCCTGGGGGCAGCCAGCCTCAGTGGGGGGCGCGGACAGGAGCCGGGAGCCAGGCCCACCTGGCCTTGCCGCGCGCCCCCTTCCCGGCCCTTCCCCACGAGCGAGCGCTGGGGTGGAGGGCTGGGAGACTCCCGCAGCCAGCAGGGGTGGGGCAGGGCCATGAGGAGGCCCTGACGGCCCCTCTCCTCCCTCCTCGAGCAGAGCCTGGGCCAGATCCTCGAGGCGGCAGCGAGTGTGGGCAGCCGCACGCTGGACGTCCAGCTTGACTCACTCCTGGCTGCCCTGCACGCTCAGGTGGGCTGGGGGCCCAGGGAGGGGTGGGAGCATGCTGGGAGGTGCCTGCTGAGGGTCAGGGAGCAGGAGGCGGGGCTGAAGCACCGTCTGCCCAGCGCTGGGGCTCGGGCCGCGCGACACAGCACAGCCCCGCCGTGCAGGGGCCGGAGCGGGCAGCCAGCAGGCCAGGGGCAGCTCTGGGGCCATCTGCACTGGCTGTGCGTCCCGAGGGCCCGGGCTCAGGTGGAGACCTGCTCCAGGGGTCTTGATGGCTCTGATGGAGAAAGGGCTTCGAGGAGGCTCCGCAGCCGTGCACACCCTGCCCCCCCCAGGTCAGATGAGGGGCATGGAGGTCACGGGGAGCTCTGGGGGGACGTTGCGTCCGTGGGACTTTCTGAGTGGGAGAGAAGAAGGCCGGAAAACTAGAGAGAGCGTGGGCAGGCGGCTCTGTGAGAAAGAGAAGCAGGGAGAGTGGACTTACTTCCTTGCTCCCCCCACCCCCTGGGGCATCTCTGGGCCTGCTCCACTCCCACATCTGCTGGGATGCCAGCCTGGCCCGCCGGCCTGAGCCCTCACCTGCCACACACACGGACGGCGCCCTGCGAGGGCCGGGGGTCGGGCTATGGTAGAGAGATTAAATAGTAATTTTAGTGTGTGAGCAATGGTAATGAACCTGAAAAACTGTATGAAGCGGATAGATTCCTAGAAAAATCTTAAAAATGTCAAAATTGGCAGAGAAGAAATAGAAAACTTGACTAAACCAGTAAAGAAATGGAAACAACATTCCAAGCCCTTCCTTTCTGAAAGCAAACCCAGGACCCACGTGGTTTGAAGGTTGCGTTCTTCCAAACTTTTGAGGGACAACTAATTTCCACCATACACAGGTGGGCTTGGAAATGAGAGAAGGATCCAGAGCTGCCTGATGGATTCTTTGAGGCTGGTCTTGATTCCAAATTCAAGTCAGGACCACACAGAAAAATCTAGGTCTACTACTGTGAGGCTAGATGTGAGGATCGTGTGCTCAGTGAAGGGAGTTGCCCCGCACTGCGCTCCCAGCACTGCGCCCTCAGCACTGCACCCTCACCACCGTTCCCTCAGCACTGCACCCTCACCACCGTTCCCTCAGCACTGAGCTCCCAGCACTGCGCTCCCAGTACACGAGGGGTGTAGGGCCCAGCCAGGGGGGCTGCACAGCGCTGAGGCCAGTCAGCTCACCTCATCATGGAACGAGATTCCCGAAAATATTCTCTGATATCAATCAATGCAGAAAAAGCTTTTGATAAAGTTCAACACCTATTTGTCACTAAAGCTCTTAGCAACCAGGATCAGAAAGGAACTTCTCTAACTTGATGAAGTTTAAATACCCAGACTCTCCGCGTACATCATAGTGAATGGGAGACAGGTACGTTTCCTCTAGTGTCAGGAGTAGGAAGGAGCCCCACTCTCAGTGTTAATGGGGAAAGGAACAGAAATGGGGGGAGTGAGGACCGACCTGTCGTTCATCTTCTCCCGGCCACCCACACTCCGTCCCGGTCCCCTCTTTGCCTTTCCCGAGGCCCCGAGCTCCTCTTAATACACTTAGCGATGGGTGGGTTGCCACTCGGGTCTCCCCAGCGAGAAGGCACAGGCCTGAGGGGGAGGGTTCGCTCTGTTCCGTTCCCTGCTGTCCCAGCACCGGTGTGTGTTACCCGTGAGCACTCAGTAGATGTTTGTTTTATGGATGGTTGATTTATTCATCCAGAAATGCACTCATATATGAACTGAGTCGGTTCACAAATACTAGAACTAAGTTCAGCAAGGTTGCCAGTTACAAGACCACCCTGTAAAAATCAGGAGCGTTCTTCTCCATCAGTAGTGACCAAGCACAAAAAAATGACCATTTACAACAGCAACAGAAACTTACCGTAAAGCATCTGGGAATTCACCTAACGAAGAATGCCTAAGATCTCTATGGAGAAAAAGTTTACAACTCTGAGAAAAAGTGAGAGATGCAGCACAGTGCCATTTACTTAGTATAAAAATGACTGTGTAAAAAAAAAAAAAAAAACAATGATTACGGGGGGGGGGGGGGTGGGGCTTAGACGGGAAAATAAATATATAAAAGCTGAAAAGGCAGAAAAAATGTGATATTTCCTTCTCTTAGAGCTTTCCGTTCATGTCTTTTGTTTTTCTATTGGTTTTTAGAGTTTTTTTTCATATTGATCTGTAGCAGTTATTTATAGTCTCATATCACGTATGTATAAATGTTTCTACTTTGTCCGTTATCTGTGGCTCTGTTTATGGTTTTTTGTTTGTTTGTTTGTTTTGCGGTACGCGGGCCTCTCACTGCCGTGGCCTCTCCCATTGCGGAGCACAGGCTCCGGACGCGCAGGCTCAGCGGCCATGGCTCACGGGCCCAGCCGCTCCGCGGCATGTGGGATCCTCCCGCACTGGGGCACGAACCTGCGTCCCCTGCTTTGGCAGGCGGACTCTCAACCAATGCGCCATCAGGGAAGCCCTGTTTATGGTATTTTTTGCCATGCAAAATTATTTAGTTTTTGCACCATCATTTATTCATCTTTTATGTTACAGTTCAGCTTTTGCTATACTTGGAAAAGGCTTTCGAGTTCTGCAATTAACTTTTAGCTTCTCTCATTTTCCCCTATACTTTTACTGTTTAATCCGTCTGGAGTTTATCTTAGGGAGAGAGTGAGAATCTAGTGTCATCTTTTCTCCAGATGACTACCCATTTGCACTAGTTATCTATTGCCCTTTGACCGATCACCCCAAAACTTAGCACGTGAAAACAGCAGCGGTTTACTGCCTCCGAGCCACTGCGGAGTCCTGAGCAGCTCAGGCCCCCGCGTGGTCTCGGTCACGCATCTTCTGAAGGCTCCCCGGGGCGCGGGGGTTCTGCTTCCAAGCCGGCTCCCTGCTCCTGGGCTGCCTGAGTGGCTGAGCGAGCCCGGGAGCAGGTAGGAAGCCGCAGTGCCTTTTATGGCCAGGTTCGGTCTTTGCAGTGGAAGTGACAAGCAGCACCCTGGGGGCCTGGAGCAGAACCCGGCCGCCTGGCACTCACCTGGTCCTGCACTCACCGCTGGTCACTTCTCACCTTAGAGCCCTGTGCCCGGAGGCCCTGTGGGTGTCCTTTGTTGTGACCTTGAGGGGTTGAGTGGGGACTGGGGTGCCACCCAGAGCTCAGCCCCCAGTGAGTGTCACCCACTGAGGTGCAGTGGAGCCCACAGACACATGTGCCAACAGCCTCTGTTTTTACTTTTACTAGTGCAGCTCCTTTTTCTTTTACAATTTTGAACGAATGGACTCGAGGTATTTTGGTTTCCAGTGCTTTCTGCATTCTAGAGGTCCGCGGTTTCCAGCCCAGGATGTCATGCCCAGGAAAGCGGGAAAGTGTCTCCTTTCTCATCAGGGAATGTGTCTTGGGAGTTTGTTTTCCTGGCTGGTGGTGGGAGGGGTGGGGTGTAGACGGAGCCAGGACTCTTTTCCCTTGAGAGGGCCAACTGGAAGGTGTGGGCTGAGGTCCCCAGGGCGGTTCCAGGCACAGGCGAGGGGCTCCTGCACCCAGGTGAGAGAGCGCCTGAGGGACCTGCCCCTGGGCCCAGCATCGTCAGGGGACCTGTCCCTCCCGTGGCCTTGCTGGGCCCCCGTGACTGTGCCCTCTGTTCCCGGAGCAGATCTGCGTGCCCGTGGAGTCCTCGAGCCCTCTGGTGATGAGCAACCAGAAGGAGGTGCTGCGCTGCTTCACGGTGCTGGGTACGAGGCCAGCGGCCTGGCTGCTCTGGGGGGTGGGGGGGCCCTTTGTCTCATGTGCTGCCCGCCTGTGTCTCTGGGGAGCATACAGCCAAGGCCTGGCTGGGCCGCAGCCCCGAGCGTCCGGCCTCCCTGGCCGCCAGGCCTAGCTTGTCTTGGAGGTGCAGACAGCCAGCAGGGAGCAGAGGACAGCTCGTTACAAACAGTTCTTTGATGAGCGCTTGCCCTGCAGCCTGCTGCTCGCCTGACCGCCTGCTGGCCTTCCTGCTGCCCAAGCTGGACACCAGCAACGAGAGGACCCGTGTGGGCACCCTCCAGGTCGTGAGGCACATCATCAACTCGGCCGGTAAGTGCCCTTTGTGGCGCAGATGGAAAAGGCAGACATTGTCCAGCTTTTAGGTGAAAAGGAACATCTTGCTTTGAATTCTTTAAATATTTTCCCCAACTTTCTAGTTTGCAAAATTCCAAACTTTTTGAAAAGTTGCAGCAATAGTGCTCATCAGCCTCCCAGCAGGCGTCCATCGCTGACCTTTGCCCTTGACGGCTGGCTGTGGACGGTGGGACATGGTGCCCCTGACCCTGGGCCCGGCAGCTGCCACATGCCCGCCGGTCTGGTGGCTCAGTCCCGCTGCCCCGTCACACTGTCTGCCGCAGCTGCCCCTCAGCGTGGGGTCTGTGCACGGGCATATGTTGCCTAGTTGTGTCTTAGACGTGGACCTTTGAGAAGAGTTGAGGCCGGTTCTGTAGACAGTCCCTCAATTTCCGTGTGTCTGATGATTTCCTCACAATTGGATGGAAGAATTCGGGTTTCTTGCTTTTAAGGCTAATTTAATCAGCAATAGGCTTGAACGGTTTTCGCACTTAAGTCTGTTTTTTCCGGTGAGCTTGGTTGCTAAACAGTGGCCACGGCCGTGGGCCACGCCAGGCCTGCGGCCTGCTTCTGTACAGTCCTGAGCTGAGAGTGGTTTTCACATGGCAACGGGCTGTACAAGCAAGCGAAGGAGATGTGACGGAGACCGCTTGTGGCCCTGGAAGCCCAGGTGCTCTCTGCCTGACCCTCTATGACGAGCATGTGGGCCAGGTGGCACCCGTGGACTCGGCAGCTCTCGGGTTTGGGGAGTGAGGGGGCAGCGCTCGGCGGGCAGGGCCGGGCCCTGCCGTGAGCCCAGGAGCACGTGGCTGGTGGCTGCTGGGGAAGGGTGGTGCTGGGACAGAGAGCAAGGCCTCTCACCTGAGCCACAGCGCCCTCGGGAGCCCAGGTGCCCGCGGGCCTCGTCTGGGCCTCGGCCGGGCCTTCGCTTCCTCTCTGATCTGCTGTTCGTGGTCATTAGCGGCGCTGAACGTTTTTTACACGGTTCATGGTCATTAGTGGCGCTGAACGTTCTTTACGCGGTTTAGCCTCGCTTGCCTCTCCTTTGTTAATTCTTCTCTCACGATGATGTTCCAGGGTCACTTCGTATCCACTTGTCTTTCATTTTTTCCTTTAAGTTCTTTCTCTGGCCATAAGTGTATATATGTATATATGGTTAGGACTCGGTGCCCTCACTGCCCAGGCCCCTGGTTCAGCCCCTGCTCAGGGAACTAAGATCCTGCAAGCCACGCGGCGTGGCCAAAAGAAAGATGTTGTACATATAAAAAATGGAATGCTACTCGGCCATAAAAAGAATGAAATAATGCCATTGCAGCAACATGGATGGACCTAGAGATTATCATACTAAGTGAAGTACGTCAGGAAGAAGACATACAATATATCACTTTTATGTGGAACCTAAAATATGACAGAAATGAACTTATTTACAAAATAGAAACATACAGACAGAAAATTGTTACCAAAGGGGAAAACTGGGGGGAAGAGATAAATTAGGAGTTTGGGATTAACAGATACTACTATATATAAAATAGATAAACAACATACTCAGTATCTTGTAATAAACTATAATGGAAAACAATCTGAAAAAGAATAGATACATAGGGCTTCCCTGGTGGCACAGTGTTTAAGAACCCGCCTGCCAATGCAGGGGACACGGGTTCGAGCCCTGATCTGGGAAGATCCCACATGCCGTGGAGCAGCTGAGCCCGTGTGCCACAACTACTGAGCCTGCCCTCTAGAATCCACGAGCCACAACTACTGAGCCCACACACCTAGAGCCCGTGCTCCACAACAAGAGAAGCCACCACAATGAGAAACCCGCGCACCGCAGGGAAGGGTAGTCCCTGATCACCACAGCTAGAGAAAGCCTGCACACAGCAACGAATGCAATGCAGTCAAAAAAAAAAAAAAGAATAGATACGTTTATGTATAACTGGATCGCTTTGCTGAACACCAGCAACGCTGTAAGTAAACTCTACTTCATTAAAAAAGTAAAATTTTTAAAAATTATATATAGATAGATAGATGGATAGATGTAAATCTCGCCCTTTTGGGGGGCTTGGCCCTTGGTGGTTTCATTTGCGTGTTTACAATTGTGGTAGAATACACAGAACATAAAGTTTTCCGTGCTCATCGTAGGTGTGCGCTCAGCAGCGTTCAGTACATTCACACTCGCTGTGCAGCTGCCTCCAGGACGCTTTTCATCCTGCAAACCTGAAACTCTGTCCCCACTAAACAACACTCCCCACATTTCGGTCCCTTTTAAACCTCAGGTCTCCTGTGCTCTTTTCTTTCCCTTGTAATTTATCCGTGGAAGAGCCTAGGCCATTGGACCTGTGGAGTTTCACACGGTCAGCTTGGTGGGCTGTGTTCTCGAGGTGCAGACTGAGGTTCTCGTCCGTCCGGATTTCTTGCAAATTGGCAAGAACTCAGACTCCAGTCGAGTCCCTTTGGCAAGACTGTAGGGGGCACAGTGTGTACCGGGCGGCCTCGGCAGCACTGCCGCCCTCCGCCTGGGGCATGGATTGTGCTGCGCCGATTCGCTGGGTGCCGTGATGAAGAGACGCTCTTCACCTGCCTCAGCCATGCAGAAGTGTGGCTCATGTAGGAACTGCAGCCTCAGCTGTTGGCTCCTTTGTTTTGTCAGTTTTCAAGATAATACACTGGTCCCCTATCATCTTCTAAAGGTGACCATTGCTCTTTAAAAATATCAAAGGGACTCATGAATTCAAACATATTGGAGAAATTTCAGTTCATTGCAGTTATCACCATTATTTTTTAATTAACTTTTATTGGAGTATAGTTGATTTACAGTGTCATTTTAGATTCTGCTGTACAGCAAAGTGAATCAGCCGCATGTATCCGTATATCCCCTGTTTTTTAGATTATATTCCCATCTAGGTCACCACAGAGCACTGAGTAGAGTTCCCTGTGCTAGACAGTAGGTCCTTATTTGTTATCTATAGTTATTACCATTATTGGAGCTCAAATTGCGTCATCTCCGGGGAGTGGGGAGACTTCTTCAAGTTCGAGTCCTTTGATGATGAACTAAGCTCGTTGTGTATATTTCTTGCCCCAGACCTGGAATCAGCCATTCCAGGCTGTGAGGCCTCCAGTCCCCTGCGTGAGGTGGGATCATGACGCACCCCTCCCCTGGGGCTGTCCTTGGAATGACAGTGCCATCACTGTGCTCCCAGTCTCTGTTTTCATTTAAAAACTTGCTTTTGGCCACACCACGTGGCTTGCAGGATCTTAGTTCCCGACCAGGGATCAAACCCGGGCCCTCGGCAGTGAGAGCGCAGAGTCCTGACCACTGGTCCACCAGGGGGGTCCCTCTTTGTTTTTATTTTTATTAATCTCACGACCACTTCTTGGTATTCACTTTTTACCCCCATTTAAATGTCAGAATGCGACTTCCCTGGCGGCCCAGTGGTGAGGACTCCGTACTCTCACTGCCGAGGGCCCGGGTTCGATCCGTGGTCGGGAACTAAGATCCCACGTGCGGCGTGGTGCGGCCCCCACCCCTGAAAAAACTAAAATAAATAAATACCAGGAAAGGAAGGGTTATACAGCTGGTTCTCAAAGTGGGGTCCTCAGCGCCAGCTCACCTGGGAATGTGTGAAAAGTGAACGCCTGAGCCCACCTGGGCCTGCAGGTTGGAGTGGGGAGAGGGGACAGCGGCTGGTGGTGCTTAACGAGCCTGCTGTGATTCTGATGCCCCAGGAGACCCCCTGACCCTTGCACTTGAACTGGGATACCTGCTCAGCCCGCTCTTTCTCTGCTGCCCTAAACTACAAACCTCCTAGCGTTTTAATTGGGTGAAATAATGTTATTTGCTGAAAAAGGTCATCTCCCCCTCCCGCCCACCGGAGAGAAATGGGTGGACCTGTGCGTATGCGGCACCCCCCCTCCTGCCACGTGGAGGGCCACACTGAGGCCAGAACCCCGGCAGTGTGGCCTTGGGCCCTGTGGTGGGGGGCGGCCTGAGCCATCTCTCTGTTTCCCGCAGCTGCGCAGATGGAAGTCAAGCAACCCTTTATTCTCTCCTCCATGAAGCTTCCTCTTCTGGACAACAACAGCAAGGTAGGTCAGCGGGCAGCCCTGGCTCCGCCGTGAGCAGCTGCGGGCAGTGTGGTCACCACGGACCCGGCAGCCACCTCTCAGCCAGGCCAGACCTCAGTGGGCGCGTGCAGGCCTGGGCATCTGGGACCAAGTATGAAGTTAGGAAGTGGTCCCCAAAACCACCCGGGGGTTCAATCGTTCTCTAGAAGAACCCCCAGACTCACAAGAGTCGTCATACCCACGTTATGGTTTATTACACCAAAAAGACACAGGCTAACATCGGCCACAGAAGAGGCACGAGGGGCAGGAGGCCCAGGAGGGTCTGAAGTCGGAGCCCCGCTGTCCTCTCCCTGTGGAGCCGTGGGCAGCCTGGGCTCCCTGGCAGTGCTGTGCCGGCTGCCCCCCAGGGAAGCCCCCAGCCTTGTGTCAGGGGTCTCTGTCAGTCCTCCGTCGTGGAGACCTCAGAGTCCAGCCCCTCCTGGCCCGAAGCCTCCACCCTCAACCATCAGGTGGTTAGGTGATTCAGCGTGGCCGAAGCCTCAGGGAAGCGAGGACCCGGGGCTCAGGTGGGACATCCAAGGCCTTGGGGGCGACGCCCAGAGCCGGGGGCAGGGCTGCTCCTCCCTCCTGGGCGCAGCAGGGCCCCTCGGCTCTGTCCTGGGGCTGCCCCAGCCTTTGTGCTCATCCTGGGGCCCTGTTCTTTGGGACCTTCTGTGAGAGTTTCAGAAGCTACTGAAATGGACCCCAAACCACCTGCATCTGTTTCAGGGCCCCCGTGCCCTGGGTCACCCCCAAGGGGCCGCACCTTGTGCCTCCAACAGTGTCAGTGGCCAGACGCACTCAGCCTGAGCGGCCCTCGTGCTACCACATCGCTCACTCCCTCCAGACCTGTCAGCCCCACGGTCCCTCAGGACACACGTGTAGCTGGGGGCACAGGGCAGCGATGTGCGACCTGAGATCCGGGGGAGGAGAGGCGTCACCGGGACACAGGGAAGGGTCCCCAGGGAGGGGCATCGGGCGGGGGGGCGCCAGCCCCGGGAAGAGGGTGCTGCTTCCGGCCGCGACGGCCCAGCCATTTCTTGGAGCCGCCAGACAGAGTTATCGAAGGGGCTGGACAGCAGGGCACTCAGAACTCTCAGGAGTGTTTGGGTGACAAGTGCAGACCCAGGGGCCTTGCCCAGGAGGGCAAAACGGGGTTGGGAGATGCCCAAGGAGGCGCCGGGAGGGGAGGGGCTGCGGGAAAGAGGAGGAAGAGGCCTTCCCCTGGGGGTGTGGGCGTGGCCGCAGGCTGGCCTTCGTAGCAGGCGTCTGGGGAGAAGGTGGGGGCAGGTGCAGGCGCAGGCAGAGGGAAGGGTGAGATTCCACCGCCCAGCTGGGCCGGCGTGCTGTCCGGCGCTCCTCTGAGGCCCTTGCCGCTCTCCCTTGGTCCGGGCAGGTGAAGCGGGCCGTGGTGCAGGTGATCAGTGCCATGGCCCATCACGGCTACCTGGAGCAGCCTGGAGGCGAGGCCATGATCGAGTACATCGTGCAGCAGTGCGCGCTGCCCCCCGAGGCGGAGGTAAGGGCGCGGCCTCACCCTCCTGCTCCTGGGCCCCTGATTCCCCACCTCCGTCGGGGGCGTCGTCACATGTGCCAGTGATTTGTCTTACTGCTGAGTAGCATTCTGTGGTACGGACGTGCCAGTCTGTTCTCCACTCTCTAGAGGAAGGAGACTCCAGTTGTTTGCAGTGTGGCAGTTATGAAAAAAGCCACTGTGACCGTGTGGGTACAGGTTTCTGTGGGAACATGCGTTTGTATGCCTGGGTAAGCGCGAATGGAAGGTGTGCATTTAATTTCATAAGAAATTTCCAAACGGTTTTCTGAAGCGGCTGCGCCATCTCATGGCCCCAGCAGCAGCGGCTGAGAGGCCCTGTGGGCGCTTGCAGGCTCGGGTCCAGGCTGTTTGTTTCTCAAGCTGTCCTGATGGGCTGGCATCTCACCAACGACCAATGTGTGCCATCCCTATGTCTTCCTTAAGTGTCTGTTCACAGCTTTTGCCTATTCTTGAGTTGTTTACTTTCCTATTATTGAGTACAGAGTGTTCTTTATATATTTCGGATGCAAGTCCTTTATCAGATTTATGGCTTGTAAATATTTTCTGACAAGTCTGTTGCGTCATACTTATCTTTTTATTTTCTTCAAAAGGTGGATATTTTAATATTTTAGAAGTCCACTTTATCAGGTTTTTATTTATAGCTCTTGCTTTTGGTGTTCTAGCTAGTAAATCCTCTCTTAACCCAAGGTCACAAAGATGTCCTCCTATGTTTTCTTCTAGAAGTTTTAACTTCGAGGTTTTACATATAGATTTGTGATCCATTTTGAGTTAATATTGTTTAATGTGAGGTGTGGTTGTTGTTAAGGCTCATTATTTTGCACGTGGATGTCCAGTTGTCCTAGCACCATCTGCTGAAAAGACTCTTCTTTCCACGTGGACGAGTTGCCTTTGCATCTTTGTCAAAATCAAGTGACTGTGGACTCTGTTTTGCTCCACTGATCTGCGTCTGTCCTTTTGTCGGGACCACACTGTCTTGCCTGAAGCTTTACAGTAAATTCTGGAGCAAAGTAGCATGAGTCCTCTAACTTCAGTCTTCTTTTCTAATTCGTTTGGCTATTATAGTTCCTTCACTTATCCATATAAATTTTAGAATCATCTTGTTGATTTCTACAAAAATAAACCTTTTAGAATTTTATTTGTTGGTTTATTTATTTGTTTTTATTTTTGGCTGCATTGGATCTTCATTGCTGCACGCGGGCTTTCTCTAGTTGCGGCGAGCGGGGGCTACTCTTCGTTGCAGTGCGTGGGCTTCTCATTGCAGTGGCTTCTCTTGTTGCAGAGCATGGGCTCTAGGCGCGCGGGCTTCAGTAGTTGTGGCGCACGGGCTCAGGAGTTGTGGCTCACAGGCTCTAAAGCGCAGGCTCTGTAGTTGTGGCACACAGGCTTAGTTGCTCCGCGGCATGTGGGATCTTCCCGGACCAGGGCTCGAACCCGTGTCCCCTGCATTGGCAGGCGGATTCTTAACCACTGTGCCGCCACGGAAGCCCACCTATTATAATTTTGACTGGGATTGTGTTGAATCTGTAGACTCTTTGGGAAGAATTGATATCTTTTGACAAATTGATGTTGTTTTCCCATCTATGAAAATGGTGCATTACATTTACTTAGGTCATCTTTGATTTCTTTCGTCAGTACTTCGTAATTTTAAGCATATAGATTCTGCACATATTTTGTTAGATTTGCAACTATGGTTTTAGTGCTATTGTAGTAGTATAGTTTTGTTAATTTCAGTTTCCAATTGTTCATTGCTAGTGTGTAGAAATACAGTTGATTTTTACATATTGACCTTGTGTCCCGTGGCCTTACTTTTTATAGATTCTTTGAGATCTTCTACATGGAGCGTCATGTTTTCCAATAGACAGCTCAGTCTTCCTTTCCAATCAGAATGCCTTCTTTTTCTGGCCTTATTGCCTCGGTTAGAGTCTCCATTACAATGCCGGATACAAGTGATGAGTGCGGACGCCCGTACCTTGCTTCCGTTCTAAGGGGAACACCTTCAGTCTTTTAATAGCCAAGATTCTGCTTTCAATTCTTCTCAATTTGAAATGGACATAAGTGATTGCTTTTTAGGTATTGAATTCCTTGCAGTGCCAAGATAAACCACACTTGGTCATGATTTATAATGCTTTTAATATATTGCTGGATTGGATTTCCTGATACTTTGTTGAGAGATTTTGTACCTCTTCAAGAGTGTTATTGGCCTGTACTTTGCTGTAATGTCTCTCTCTGGTGATCCTTCATTAGGTGAGTTTGGACGTGTCCCCTCCTCTTCTAACTTATGGAAGAGTTTGTGAAGATTTGGTATTTTTTCCTTAAATCTTTGCTAGAATCCCTCAGTGGAACTACATAGGCCTGGAGGTTTCTTTGTTGAAAAGCTTTTAACCATGAATTGTTTACTAGACAAAGAACTATTTAGGTTATCTGTTTTCTTGAGTAAGCTTTGATGGTTTGTCTCTGGGTAAAGGGTCCTAAGACCACCTACATGCTTGGTGGTTCACTAGAAGGACTTGTAGGACTCAGAGGTAACTGTACTCGTAGCTAAAATCCATGTGCAGGTTTCCTGTGTGCTCCCAGGAGGGGCCACACAGGGCACACTCCCTCCTGCATCAGAGAGGTGCAGCCCAGGGAAGCCCATCTGACAGCCTGAGTCACGGCTGTCACTGGAGGTGGGCACCTTCTGCCACAGCCAGCAAAATGCCAGCCTCCCGGGGGAGCCCGTGTTCGCTGCTCAGGCAGCCAGAACAGCCTTACTTCTCACTTGGGGAAGTTTCAAAAGATGAGCTCCCGGATGTAAAGTGTTTCAGGTGCTGTGGACAGAATTACCATATGATCCGGCAATTCCACTTCTGGGTATTTACCCAAAAGAAATGAAAGCGGGATCTTGAAGAGATACTTGCACGCCCATGTTTGTAGCAGCGTCATTCACGATAGCCAAGAGGTAGAAGCAGCCCAAGTGTCCATCAAGGGATGACTGGGTAAACACGGTCTGCTCTATCTATATAGTAGAATGTTACTCAACCTTAAAAAGGAAGGAGATTTGGACACATGTTACAACATGTGTAAACTTTGATAACTTGCTGATTAAAGTTTTCCCTACTAGTTTTAGCATCAGTTGTTCATTTTCTAACTCCATTAATTTTCTATACTTATTTTTTTGCCCTTCTGTTGTAACAAAGAGCTTTTTGCTAGTTTTTTTTTTTTTTTTTTTTTTTTTTCGTTACACGGGCCTCTCACTGTTGTGGCCTCTCCCGTTGCAGACCACAGGCTCCGGATGCGCAGGCCCAGCGGCATATGGGATCTTCCTGGACCGGGGCACGAACCCGTGTCCCCTGCATCGGCAGGCGGACTCTCACCCACTGCGCCACCAGGGAAGCCCCGGCTTTTTGCTGTTTTTATGTTCATATATAATATCTCAGTGTGGATTTATGGGTTACTCTTCCATGCATTTCTGTCGTTGGTTTTGGTGGTCAAATTGTTCTGAGTTTGGCCTGTGGGAGCCCCCGTGGAGCGGGCTCCTGTGTCCTTGAGGCAAGGCGCGTCTCCATCATTTTTTGAGTTGAGCCTTTCCTTGTTTTCTGGCACAAGAAGATGTTCCAGGCTCACCTGACCTGTCCTTACCCCTAGCTCTGTGGACACTTTCCAGAGGAGCTCTTTTTCTCTTTTATTTCTGGGGGGAATTAGTCTCCTTTATCTCTTTAATTTTTTCTTGTTCTCCATTTTCCTCTCTCGTTCCGGCACTTCTGTTACCTGAATGTTGCACTTTAATATCTTTCTTCTTCATTTCCCTGAAGTCTTCAATCTGTTCTTCCACGTCAGTGATTTCTTTCTTAACTATTTCACTATTAATTTCTTGAATCACATTCTGTGTTTAACTGTTACACTCTTTCACATGCTTTTCTTGTTCTTGGTTCATATTAATATTTTCCCACCGATAGTATTTTTCAGCTTAAGTTGATGTTCTTGGTCTGTGGGTCCCAGTAGTTGTGCCTTTGTTGGGCTTTGTATGTGTCCTCAGTGTTCACTCTTGGGTAGTTTGCGGTTTCCGTGTGGATTCTTTATTAACCCAAAGTTTCTTTTAGGGTGTTTGAAGTTTTCTAGGTGGCTCGCTTTCCGTGGCTGCTGTGGGTTTGTAATTTTATTGCGTTCTCCGCGTTGAATCTGGCCACAGGTTTATTTTATTGCGTTCTCTGCGTTGAATCTGGCCACAGGTTTATTTTTGCTTCTGAGAGTTTGTTGAGATCTTTTTAGCCTAATAGGTGGTCAGACTTTCAAGTTGTTTGTGTGTATTTGGTATTAAGATTTATCTATGTTTTTAGAGCATGCTTTAAAAGTTGCTATTTAGGCCCTATTAAACACCTCTATTTTTTCTACTCCATCTTTGATTTCTCCGGGAGAGGTGTTAAATGTCTCCTACAGTCATTGCAGTTTTCCCAATTTCTCTTGGTTTTCAGTGTTTACTTTTTGGTATTTCAAAGCGTGAGTTGAAGACTCAGAGTGTTTGGAGAGCAGAGTCCTTTTCCGCGTGGAAGGTTCCCGGGGAGCCGGGCCCTGGAGCACTGTCTGCTCAGGTCTGAGAGAAGCCACTGGCCCGTCGGGTTCCAGAGCTTGTCTCTGTTCTTCGTAGAAAATGCCATTTTCTCAGCCTATTATCAGGTCCACAAAGGGCCTCCGGTTTCTGTGGACGTCGGCATTGCCCATCAGGACGGAGTCAAGGTTCCCTCTGTTCTGGTGGCTGAACCAAGCCTGGTGAGCCGGCTTCCTTGGGCGATTTTAGTGCAGAGTGAGCTTCCTGCCCATGACAGGTGACATGGGCGTCCACTCAGCAGGGCCTGGGCAGGGTCTGTCCTGCTTCGCTCAGGCCGTGTCCTCAGGGCCAGAGCCCACGGTGGTGTAACCTGGAGAGCAGAGAGCACACCCTCCGCCCTCCCCTCCTGCAGCCTCAGAAGCTGGGCGCCAACAGCGAGGCCCTGGCGGCAGACAGCGTGCGGGCCATCAGTGTCAGCACCCTCTACCTGGTCAGCACCACTGTGGACAGGATGGGCGACGTGAGTGCCGCCCACCCACCCCCTGGGACCCACCGCGCCCCTCCTGACCCCTCAGCCCGGGGGTCTGCTGCCCGCCCACCTGGGAGCAGACTCCCATGCTGCTGCCCCCAGGTCCTCTGGCCATACCTGTTCGAGTTCCTCGTCCCCGTGCGCTTCACCGGGGCGCTGACCCCGCTCTGCAGGAGCCTCGTGCACCTGGCCCAGAAGAGGCAGGAGGCGGGGGCCCACGCCCTCCTCATTCAGTACAACGGCAACGGTGCGCCCCCGGCCCTGGCCCGGCCCCCCAGCCCACCTTGACCCCAGGGCGCGGGCGGCCCTGAGTGTTGCACATCTGTCTCCCCCGCAGTGACCCTTCCATCTCCCTACGCCATGGCCACCAGGCTCCTGGTAAGCAGCGCACTGGGGGCTTGCCTTCCCAGAAGCATCATGTCCCCAGGCAGGTGGCCGCTGGGCAGCTGCGCTCTGGGGATGGCGGGGAGGAGCGGGCTCTTGCCTTTGTCCCCGTCCTCACGCTGTCACTGCTGTGAGAAGGACACTGTCTCGCAGTGGGGACTGTCAGGTGCTCCAGGCGGGGTTTTGGGGAGCTGCATCTCTGGGGGCTTCTTGCCCCACCTGGGAGGCCGTGCTTGGCCTCGTGTGGGGCGTTGGGGCGCTGTGGCCCTGGGCGCCGGTGGAGAACCCACTTCTGGCTCCTCCAGGCTGTGTCTTCCAGCCCCTACCTGGGGGACGGTCGCGGGGCCGCCTCGCTGCGCCTCCTGAGCGTCCTTCACCGGGACATCCACCCTATGCTGGGTCAGCGGTGGGCGACCGCCATCCCCCTGCTGCTGGAGCACCTGGACGGTGAGGCCCAGAGGGGGGCAGCGCCGCGAGGACGCGTTTTTTCAGCCAGTCGGCACCAAGCCTGGCCAGTGGGGATCAGGGTTTTGAAAGTTGGAAGAAATGGCCTCTGCTGTGGTCCAGGAAAGGGCCTGGACAGTGGGGCTGAAAAGATGCTCCCTGCCGGTTGTCACCTGGGAGCACACTGGATGTGGGCGCAGCCCTTTCTTCCTCTGTGCTAGCATTGATGGGGCCAGGCTGGGGGCGGTGCTCTGAGCACTGCACTCCTGCCTGTGAGCATGGGTCTGTCTGCTGGGCTGAGTGAATGGCTGGTCGTTTCAGGATATACGGAGGAAACCCTGTCGCGGAAGGAATGGGAGGAGAAGCTGCTGATGGTGAGAGAAGGGAGAGGAGGTGGGAGCGTAGCCTGTCTTGGACCCAGGGGCCCTTTCTGGCCTGGACGGGGATTGGACCCAGGGGCCTTTTCTGGCCTGGGCGGGGAGAGCTTGGGGCAGCCACGCTAGGGGAACTGTACCTTCCCAGGGCTGTGATGTTTGCCTTGGCCTAATGGTGTGGCTGGGGGAGGGGCAGAGGGACAGGTGGGTGTCTCTTGGGGGGAGTCCTGCCTACTGACCTCACAGATTGTCACCCTGCTGTGATGGAGTCAAATTACAGGGGCTTTGAGCTGCTCTGGCCACTGGAGCCTTCTCTCCTCTCCCCTGCTTGGCTCAGAGCTGTCTGTGCCCCTGTGTGGTGCGTGTCTGACCCCCCAGAATTTGTTTTGTCTGGGCTCGAAAGTGATCCACAGCCCTTCAGAGCCATGGCACAGGACCCTGAGGTCCCTGCCTGGGACACCGCCAGGCATTGGGTCCCTCCCCAGCCAGCGCAGTGAAAGGCCGAGCTCCGGTCCCTCACTGCTAGAGCTCCTGCCCACAGTTCCTTCGCGACACTCTAGCTGTTGTGTCTGACAACACGTGGATTTGCCAGCTGAGCCTGGAGATGTGCAAGCAACTGCCCAGCTACAACGGGACGCCCCTGGAGAAGGTGCAGGGGGAGGGGGGAACGCCCCTGGAGAAGGTGCGGGGGTGGGGGTGGGGGTGGAGGGCAACCCGCGGGCTGCTGTGGGCGTGGCCCTCAGCTCCTGCTCCTTGGTGCCGTCACTTGCTCCCTGCGCCTGCCTCTGGTGGCCCCTGTGGTCCTGGCAGAGGCTGGACGGGAAGGCCTGGGAGCCTCCTCGTAGTGGCTGACGGCTGGGAGACGCAGGGGCTCCGCACCCACCTCCTGCTCCTCAGACGCTGCCCAGAGCTCATCCGGTCCTCGCGGCGATCAGTGTCGTGGGTCCCACGTCTGCTGGCATGCGCACTCTGTCAGGGGCAGCGCTTTGGTAGTGCTGGGCATCCCTCCACTGGGGAGCCAGGCACAACCCTGTTTTCTGGCTTCGCTGCAGAACTTCCTGTATAAATGCATAGGAACTACGCTGGGTGCTGCTTCAAGTAAGGAGGTGGTGAGAAAGCATCTACAGGAGCTGCTGGAAACCGCCAGATACCAGGAGGAGAGCGAGCGTGAGGTGGCGCCCCTCCCCACGGGAAGCCCGGGTGCCCACAGGCTTGCTGGCAGTGGCCACTCTCTGTCCTCTCGGACGTGTAGCCAGCGTGTGTACCTGTGTGTGTGTGTGTGGTGTGCACAGATGCGCCGATGGTGTGCGCGTGCATGTGTACTCCTCTCCGTCCCCGACCTTGCCCAGGCGTGAGTGCACCTGTGTACCTCCCCAGGGCCTTGCCTGTTGCTTTGGGATCTGTGCCAGCTCCCACCTGGATGACACCCTGGCCCAGCTGGAGGACTTTGTAAAGTCAGATGTGTTCAGAAAATCCGCCGGCATTTTCAACATTTTTAAGGTACAAAGGTCAGGCTGACAGCTGAAGGGGAGGTCTGGGGTGGGCCTGGCCTGTGATTTTGTCTTAGCCGTGGTACCCTGCATTTTGAGGTTCTGTGGGGTGGAGGGTTGGTCCTGGCGCTTCCTGGGCTTCGGTGCCTCGCACGTTGGGGGTGGGTCAGGGAGCTGGCATCCGGTCGTGAGCGGGGCTGGCGGATGAGGGCTCCCTCCCAGCTGGTGACTGGGGCAATGAGAGGGGCTCTGGGCAGCAGGGATGGGGGCGGCCACCTTCCTGTCCCACCGCCTACCTGTGCATCTTCTGCCCCCTGGTGGCCAGTGGAGGCTGTGTGCTCGCTGAAGCCCCATTGGGGGCTGGACCCCCGCTGTGGGCCTCCACCCCAGCCGTTGTCCCTAGGCTTTCAGTCTCCCTGTGCCTGGGTCAGCCAGTGACAGAGTCTCAGGGCTGTGTAGTGTGAACAGGCCCTGAGGACGGAGGGGGGCTCCTGGGCAGCCCCCAAGCGAAGGCAGGGACCCCACCTCTGGCCCTTCCGTTGCTCTCAGCCCCCCAGCTCTTCCTCCTGCGTGCCCCTCCCACCTTGGTCCCCACCAGGCCCGAGCCTGCCCAGTCCTATCCTGTCCTGCTGTTCCTGACCTTGGGGCTCTCTGGGTGGGGTGGCGCCTTCCTCCCAACCAGTTGTGCCCTTCTTCCCGCGCACGTGGGGTTGGAGTGCTGGGCTGCTGCTGGGGGGCGTGACTGTGTCACAGCCCTGCTGATTCCTCCGGCCTCTCAGGATCGGAGTGAGAACGAGGTGGAGAAAGTGAAGAGCGCGCTGATCCTGTGTTACGGGCACGTGGCAGCGCGGGCCCCCCGCGAGCTGCTGCTGGCCAGGGTGGAGTCGGACATCTTCCGGAACATGTCCCAGTGCTTCAGTACCAAGGTGGGTGCCCGGCCGTGGCGCGGGGAGGGAGAGAGGGAGGGGTGCCGCCACTGGGGCCTCACGCGCTAACTCATGTCACCTCTGTCGTTCAGGTTCTGGGGATAAAGGTAGAGACCAAGGTACAGTGTGCAGGAGTGGAGCGGGGGCTCTGCTTTCCTCTCTCCTCCGGGCTGGGCCGTGAGCTGCCGGGGCAGCAGCCAGGAGTGCTCACTGGGGCTCCCTGGTCCCAGTCCAAGGGCAGAGCATTCGGGACATCCCTCCGGGGCCTGTCCCCACCGCCTCGGAGCAGAATGGGGGCCCAGGAGCTCCTTCTCTGGCCCGGGCCCCGGACGGTGGGTGGGAAGGAGGGGGAGGTGAGGGCTCGCAGGCGGGGCGCGGGGCCTCGGCCGCAGCCCCTCTCCTGGCTCTGCTCCCTGACGCCCACGGCTGCCCTCTTGGCAGCGCCGGGGAGGGGTGCGTTCTGCAGCAAGTGACAGTGGCCTCTGGCCTCACTAACGTGTTTCCCTCTGGACTCTCCGGCACTAACCTGGAAGCCCCCTCTGGAGCGGCTGGGTCTCCCCTTAAAGGGCAGACCCTCCACCCCGGGTCTCCTGCAGTCGGCCGGGTGGTGGGGCTGTGCTGAGAGTGGTCGCTCTGACTGAGTGGGGGGCAGCCCCCCTCTGCCGGGGCTCTTCTTGGGCAGCAGGCTTCCCCTCCACCTTGGGAGCACCTCCAGCCACCCCACTGGTGGATGGAGTGGGCATCTGCCTACGGCGTCTGCCCGGGGCCGTGACCCGGGGCCCCCCAGGCCCAGGCCGGGCAGACAGCCGAGGGCCCCGGGTTCCCTCACAGACCCCCCGTGGCCCACGTGGGGGGCTGGCCAAGAGCCCCAGAGTGGAGGGGAGCGTTTCTGGCTTTGGCGGAAAGAGCGGGCCGGTGGTCTGGTCTCGCTGCTGTGGGCAGCCCCCATCCTGGCTCAGCCCCATGGGCCTAGAGGGAGCGGCTGCTGCCTCGGGCCTTGGTGCCTTCCTGCAGCCCAGTGTCCCCGCAGGACCTGGGCCTGAGGCTGTGCCTCGCGCAGAGCGTTTGCATGGCCAGCCAGGCCGTCCGCAGCAGCTCCCACGGCAGCTCCTTCCAGCTCCTGAGGAAGCCGGAGCTGGTGGCACAGATGATGGTGAGCGCCGGCGGGGCCTGGGGAGGGGCCTGAGTTCCCCAGCGGGTGAGGGGCGGCAGCTGACTGCGAGGCAAGCCAGCGCTGTGGCCAAGGGCCATCCTGCGGCTGCTCCCCCAGGAGTTCATCAAGGCCGAGCCCTCGGACTCCCTGAGGACGCCCATGCGGAAGAAGGCCATGCTCGCCTGCACTTACCTGGCGTATCCTTTCCTCCGGGGGCTGGGGGGCCCGGCCGGGGGGCCCCGCTGCGTGAGTGCTGGGCCCTTAACTCGAGGCTCAGCTCCCTGGAGCCGGCGCTGGAGGGGCAGGCGCAGGCGGACCTGATCCACAGCTGCCTGCACAGCATTATGGCCGTGCTGCCTGAGCCCGAGGGGGTGGATGGCCACCAGGAGGTATGAGCATGGCCCTGGCCGCATGGGTGCCCGTGCGCGGGTGGCAGGATCACGGCGGGACCGGCCGCTTCTCTCGTTCCAGCCACTGTACCTGGACACCATGCAGGCCCTCAAGGACTTACTGACAAGCCTCCTTCAGCGAAACATGACCCCCCAGGGCCTGCAGGTCATGGTGGAGGTGTGCGGTGGGTGTGCGCTTCCCCGGGGCGGGGGTGCCGTGGGGCCGTGCGGTGTGCTATGCAAGGAGGTGGGGGGGGTTCTGTGAGCGGCGGGGGGACCCCCTCCTGCCTGGGCAGGTATGCAGATGGGTGCAGTTCCCGACCCAGATGGGGGCCCCGAGCTGGTTCTCCCCGCCCCCCATCACATGGTGCTGGGATGGAGAGACCCTGAGGTGCCCCGGACATGCCCTCCTGGCCTTCTGGGGCCATCGCGGCATGGCTTCCTGCCCTTTGCAGCACTGCGGTGGGCTGGGGCAGGGCCGACCCACTCCTAGGAACACCCTGTCCCTCTGTATGCCTGGCTTGCTCTGGGTGGCCGTGGCCGTGAGCCAGGCCAGCAGGACGGAGTGACGGGGCGGGGGCACTGCACAGGGGGCTTGCTCTGACCTGGCACTCTGGCCCCCCCCCCCCCAGAAGGGTGGCTGTAGGCAGGGCACCTATATGAAGCCCCCTCTTCCCCAGCACCTGAGCCCATGGATCAAGTCCCCGAGGGGCCACGAGCGGGTGCGGGCACTTGGCCTGAGCGCCTGCCTGCTGCAGCACTTCCTGAAACACCTGCACATCAGCGTGAGTGCCAGGTGGTGACCCGCAGGGCCACTCCCTTGCCCTGTCCCCATTCCTGGCCCCTCGGCTTGGGGACAACTGCCCGGGGCCCTTGCGTCTCTGAATGCCAGCACGCTCTCTGCCCTTCGCCCAGCTGCTGCCTGGGCTCATCCCGCGTCCCAGCGAGTGCCACCGTCCTCTTCCTGAGCCGTGGACGGAGAGCCATGAGGGCCAGGAACTGTCCTCAGGGCTGGCCGCCCGGTGTCGATCTGATGGGCACCCTCGTCCTTGGGAGCGGGATCATGGGCTGGGACTGGCGCCTGACGTGCTCCCCGGAGGAGGGAACGGGTGATGGGGACCTGGGTGTGAAAGGAGAGAAGGAGGGCGTTCGCGGCAGAAGCAGCAGTTTGGGCAAAAGGAGGGGGACGTGAACCCACGAAATGCTGCAGAAAAGGCAAGTATTGTTCGGTGGTTGGAGTGGGGGAGAAGGAGCTTGGTCCAAGAACCACGCGGTTATTCTGCGTTTTAATATTTGCTAAGAGTAAGCAGCTCCTTTCCACGTTTTCAGAACTTCACGGTTCTCTCAAGGCCATTAATCAGGTGGTTTTAGGGTAGATCGGACGCAGTCCTCAAATGCTCCCAGCGCGGCTTTATGGGGGCACGCACCCCACATTTTCGTGTGTTGAGCAGTAACATCTTTTAATAATGGGCCTTTCCATCCAGGTCCCCCTGGGCCCCTCAGAAGCAGGTTCTGGGTCGCAGGTTCTGTTGCCGTTGTCAGCGTAACTTTTTCTTCCACTGTATTTAATAATTTGCTGATTGCTGGTAGGCAGGAAAACTATGGATTATTGGGTATTTAGGAACTGGCTAGTTTATAAGATTCTGTTGTTGTTTCTAGTGAATTTTTGATTAGTTCTCTGTGCTCCTCAGATACAGTCATCATAGTTTACAAATGCCGCGACTTTGGCCTTTCTCCCCCGATGTTGATGCATGTTAGTCCGTGCTGCCGTTAGCAGGAAGATGAAAGCTGGCGGCAGCCCCAAGCCTTTACGGTCTCACTCTTAAGCACGATGCTTGATTTGGTTGGCAGTATTTCTTTTTCGTCGTGTTCCAGAAGCATCTGTCTGTTTGCTCGCTTAGACGGCTTTTCCCACCCAGGTTCCCCTGTGGCCTGTTTTTCATGTAACCCTGGTCCAACCAGAGTTCATGTTTGTTTGTGATGAGACAGAGCTCTGCCCTCTCTAAGAGAACAGCAGCTGGGGGGTCCTCTGTCCAGCGCTCCAGCCTCCCCGCCTTGCGCAGGTCCCCTCTGGTGACTTCTGGGAGAGCAGCAGCCTGGGAGCCCTGCTCGTCCTTAGGAGCCCGTGCAGGGCGGGGGCGGGGCGTGCTGCTTCCCTGGGGAGGCCTCTCGTGTGGGGGGCTGACAGCAGGGCTGTGGGGCCGGGAAGGCCGAGGGCTGTGTGATGGCAGGGGCGGAAGGTGATGTCCCCAGGTCCAGGGCATAGGAAGCAAGGCCCTTTGCTAAGAGCAGGGTCGGGAAGGCTTAGTATTTGAGGAGAGCAGGAAAGGCTCTGAAAGGTGGGACCAGGACCCAGTTAGGAGGAGAGGGGTCTCACGCAGCAGCCCCCTTACCTGACGGGGGGCTTGCCTTCTGGGGCGGGGGCGTCCCATGTGTCTGCCGAGGCAGCAGAGCCCGACCGTCCCTCTGCCTGCACACACCTACTCGCCCGGCCCTCCTCCCCTCTTAGGGACCCGCACTTGGGGGGTGGGGCTCGCCGTGCAGGAGGAGGAGCTTGACAGGGGCCCTGCTGGCCACAGGGGTGGACAGGGGCTGCCCTGCTGCTCACACCCCTGCCCGAATCTGGGTGTGGGTGGCACCTGCCCACCGCAGCATCTCCTGAGCTCCAGCCCCCATCTCTGGACCTCTGCCCCCGTGCCCCTCCAGCACCCGCACATCTGCCTCTCCAGGCCCTGGTGCCCTTCCACAACCTGGGCCTCCTCCTCGGCCTCTTCTCCCCACGGTGCGCGGACCTATGGCCTGCCACCCGCCAGGAGGCTGTGAGCTGTGTCTACTCCCTGCTCTACCTCCAGCTGGGCTACGAGGGTGAGCCCCTGGCTGGGCAGAGGTGCAGGGGGTGTGGTGAGGGAGCAGAGTCTGGGCCTCTGGAGGCCAGGGGAGGCCTCCACCCAGCCCTGCGCTCCCTCCCGCCTCTGCAGGCTTCTCCCGCGATTATCAGGACGATGTGGTTGAGCAGCTCCTCACCCTCAAGGACGGCCTGGAGCACCCTGACCCCGCCATCCTCTTCCACACCTGCCACAGCGTAGCCCAGGTACCTGCCAGGGCCTCTGCGAGGGAAGGAGGGGCCGCACCGTCGGGGCCCAGGGGGCCTCTGCGGCAGCTCCTCTCGTGCACGGGCTCCACGGGTGCCGGGCCGGGCACGCGGACGGGTCTCACTCAGAGAGTTCGGTGTCCAGCACCACCTCCCGCCCCCTCTTGTGCTTGCTGGGGTCCCCCCTCCCTCCGAGGCCCAGCGGGGAGGGTGTGGGCAGGAGCTCAGCTCTGGCTCCAGAGGGTTGAGAAAGCTGCCCCTAGCCCACCCCGTGAGCCCCCAAGCCAGGGCGGTGCTGTTGTTCCATTTGGTGACTGGAAATGGCCCTCAGGGGTCAGGAGCCTTTCTCTCCAGCCAAAGAAGGAAGGGAAGGGGGTCAACAGGGCCCTTTGTCTGGGGCGGGGCGGGGGGGGGGGGGGGGTTGTGGGCTCAGACACTGGGAAGCAGAGGCCCCGCCCTGGGCGAGTCCAGGCACAGCGGAACTCTATGTTTGGGATCAGACTTCATGGATATTCAACCACTTTTATTTCTTCTTTGTACAAAGTTCATCTGCTTTAACTTCTGGTTGCTCTCTTTTATGTGGAGGGAAGGACAGGGGCTGCAGGGGGAGCTGAAGGTCCATAGAGTCTTGGTGGCCGGGCGGTCCAGGATGGAACATGCCACCATCTACCCTTGACTCTCTGCATTCTAGAGAGTTCTAGAGAGGCTGCACCACCAGGGCCACTCCCAGCCCACCCCACTGGTCAGGAGGAGCCTCAGGGAGGGCACACTGACCTGGGCCCTGCAGCTGCCCGGGGACCCCCCTTCCAGGGGCCTGGGCCTGGAGGCCCTGGAGGCTGCCTCCGGGACCTGGCCAGGCTTCAGTCTGGGGATGGGGGCTCCCGTGCATGGGCCACCCCACCCTTGCACTGGCAGGAGCTCCCGAAGGCGTACAGGGCTTGTATGAGGGTGGGAAAGGCTGGAGGAGGGATTTGAGAGGCGGAGATTTGTCAGCCCTTCCCCGGAAACGGAAACTCGAGCCCCTGGGATGTTACGCCTGGAAGGTGTGCTGACGCTGTGCTCTCAAGTCTTCCTGACGCAACTGTCCTCCTAGATTATTGGCAAGCGCCTCCCGCCAGATCAGCTCATCAGCCTCTTGCTAACGCTGTTTGAGGGCCTGGGAGACCCCGACCAGAACTGTTCCCGAGCCGCTACAGTGATCGTCAACTGCCTGCTGAAGGAGCGGGGCCACGTGCTCCTGGAGAAGGTGGGCCTGGGCGCGGCTGGGGCTCAGATGGGCGGGGGCGGGAAGGGGCGTGGCCGGGGCGTGGCTCGTCAGGGGCCAGGTGTGGGCGTGGTCTTGTCTGGGACAGGCCAAGAGTGTGGGTGGGCGGTGCTGGGTAACTTGGGGCGCCCCACCCCACTCCCTCACCCCCAACCCGTGCTCTGTGGAGGTTTGGCCCTCAGTGCTCAGCTCCTTTTCCCTGTGGGCCTGATTTGGACAAATCTTTCTCTTCTCTTTGAAGACAGAATTAAGTGAAAGTAACTGCTGAGAACTTAAGGGTAGAAAAGGCAATCGAGAGGGAAATGTCAGTGCTAGGGGCTATCACTTGGCGCCGAGCCAGCACTGGCTGAGCTCCCTGCTCACATTGCTGGTGGAGACGCAGGTCCAGAGGGTCCCCAGGTGCCTGCACAAAGGGTTCCACGGTGGGTCTGGCCCAGAGCAGAGGTGCCCGGGACACTCAGGTGCTGCCCTGCCCATTGCCTCTGAGTCCTTCTGGCCGTGAGCTCACGTGGCTGTCCACATAGTTCCCAGACATGCATCGGCAGCCACCATGACAGACGTGCCCAGGTCCTCGTAGGTGTAGGTCTGAGGCAGGCTCCAAGGATCAGGGGATTTCTAGAACGCGTGTCTTTGAATCCTGGAGAGCCAGTGGCCTGGCAGGTGGGGTCCCATGTGCCTAGAGGGAGAGTTAAGCTCCCCATTAAAGTGAAGCATAGCAGCAGGAAAGGGGGTTTGTCCTAAGTGCCTGGCCTTGGGGGCTCGCACAGGCAGGAGCAGAGGTGCTACCCACTCCAGAGTCCCTTATACCCCAGCAGACGCTCTGCAGCACAGAGCATGCCTCGGCACGCACCTCATGTAGAGGGGCCTCACGTCTGCCCCACATGGCGGTAGCCTGTGAGACGGCGCGTCTCCCGGCCTGGCCCGAGCGTTGCTCCTCCCCGCCGTGAGGGCAACGTCACACACCCACCCACCTCCGTGAGCGCTTGGGCAGTTCCCAGTCTGAGCACCGAGAGTGCTGCCAGAGCGCGGGTCCGTTGGACCTGAGGGTACATTTTGGTTGGAGACACACCCAGGAGAGCGACTGGGGCCTGCAGGAGAGGCCCCCGTGCAGCTGTCCCAGGGCTGTCAGATGGCGCTCCGGGCCGTTCAGCTCCCGCACGCCACGCCCCTGCCGACGCCGTTTCTGTCCCTTCTGGTGGGTGTGTAACGGCTTCCTGGTTGGGTTTTGTTCGCGTTTCTCTGGCGGCTTATGCAGTGGCACACTTTGGCACACTTCCTGGCTGTTCAGACGTCGTCTGCTGTGAGGACACCAGCCTTGCCCATCTTTCTTCTGGCTTGTCTGTGCTTTGCTTGTTGATTTGCAGACGCACTTTGTATATTCTGGGTGCAGGGCCTGTACTGCGTGGATCCCAGGGAGCGGGGGAGGGGCCGCAGTGCGCGGCGCGGCGCCGGGAGGGGAGCGTGCCATCGTGGTGCACTCCTCCTGGGAGTGGAAGCGGGCTGGGGGAGGAGGAGGGCGGCACAGGGCACGGCTGTGAGTCCTCGTCGGGGTTTGATGGGCCAAGGTTTGGATCTTATTTTGCACTCAGTGGGGCTTCTGGGTCAGGCTGGAGTGGTAGAGCGGTGCCCTGGTGGCTCTGTGTGGGGGGAGGGGACAGACCAGGCCGCAGGCAGTGGCCACCGGTGGTCCTGGTGTGTGTGTACACACGGCACATTTTGTCTGCTTGTTCATCTGTGGATGGACACTTGGGCCGCTTTCGCCTCTTGGCTACTGTGAATGATGCTGCTATGAACGTGGGTGTAATACATATCCCTTCAAGATCCTGTTTTCTTTTGGGTAAATACCCAGAAGTGGATTTGCAGGATCATAGGGTAGTTCTATTTTGAATGTTTTGAGGAACTGCCGTACTGTTTTCCTTAGTGGCTGCACCAGTTTACATCCCCACCAGCAGCACACAGGGGTTCCAGTTTCTCCACATCCTCACCAGCACTTGTTAATACCTGTTTTCTTTTTTTTAATGTTTTATATGTATATATATATATATTTTTTTTTACATAACGAAAGTTCTTCAGGAATGGACATTTTCTCCTAAGCCTCAGAAGTACAATACGGCATATTATTTTAATTAGCTAAAAGAGGAAATGAACAGACCTCTATAATTATTAATATTGGTAATATTCTTTCATTTAATATTTTTGTATATCAAGTGTCTCTATGTTAACTTGTATTCTTTTTCTCTAATCACAGTTTCCTTTAAATACCTGTTGGTTTGATAGCCGCCACCCTGATGGGCGTGAGGTGGTGTGTCATGTTGATTTTGATTTGCACGTCCCACGTAATTAGTGTTGTTGAGCGTCTTTTGATATGCTTGTTGGCCATTTGTATGTCTCCTTTGGAGAAGTTTGCGTCCTTTGCCCATTTTTAAATCAGATTATTTGAGTTTCTGTTGTTGTTGAATTGTAGGAGTTCTTTACATATTCTGGATATTGACCCATTATCGGATATATGATTTGCAGATATTTTTCCCATTCCATAGGTTGTCTTTTCACACTCATGACTGTGTCCTTTGATGCATAAAAGTTTTAAAGTTTGATATAGTTCCACATGCCTGTGTTTGCTTTTGTTGCCTGTGCTTTGGGCGTCACATCCAAGAAATCATTGCCAAACCTAATGTCCTGAAGATTTCCCCCTGTTTTCTTCTAGGAATTCCTTAATAGTTTCGGGTCCCACCCGTCCTTGATAAATCCAGGTGCCTCTCCTTGGGCCCAACACACCAAGCCTGCTCCTGGCCTCTGAGGGAGCTGCTGGGCTGTCTCCTCCTGGCTCAGGCTCCCAGACACACTCAGCACACCCACCCCGGGTGCTATGTTCCTGACTTAAACCTTCAGCCTGTCTGCGACGTGCCACCTCTGTCTCATGTGGCATGGTCACTGGTATCAGTACCCATGGGGGCCGTGGGGCCACCGTTTTCTTTCCTGCCCTGAGAGCCTGGCAGGGGGACCCCCTAGAGACACCTGGACACTGTTGGACTTTGAGTTTCTCTGACACTAAATCAGAAAAAGTGGTCCTAGCAGGTGACCCGTGACCGGGCTGAGCCCCTCCTCCAGCAAGCCAGGCTGGTCAGGTGGAGGGCGGGACGGACATGCCGGGAAAGAACAGACTCCTCTTAATAAACAGCGGGCATGGGAAGTGAAGCCGCTGCTGCAGAGAAGCCCGGCAGGCGTTAAACACAGAAGCGCCGCCCAACCCAGCAGTTCCACTGCTAGGCGTGTACCCGAGAGAGGTGGGCCCATGCCCATGGGAACCTGTACCGACACGCGCCTGGCAGCCCAACCACGGCAACAACGCAGACGCCCATCAGTTAGTAGCTGGATCTGTCCGTTCAGCAAAACACTGCTCAGCGGCAGGAAGGAGTGACGGGCTGATTCCTGCCGCAGCGCGGAGGAGCCTGGAAAACACTTCGCAAAGTGAAAGAAACTGGTCACAAAAGGCCCCATAGAGTGTGATTCCATTTCTCTGAAATGTTCAGAAGAGGCAAATCCAGACACGGGAAGTGGATTCGTGGTTGCCAGGGGTGGGGCGGGGGAACTGGGGAGTGACTGCTGGTGGAAATGAGGTTTCTTTTCGGGTGATAGAAATACTCTAAAATTGACGGCTGCACAACCCTGTGAGTATACGAAAACCACTGACTTGTACACTTAAATGCGCGAAGTCTGTGGTGCACAGTTAGAGCTCCGTGAGGCTGTTGCGAGGAAACGGCCTAGACCAGGTGTGAGGGGAGGTTAAAGGGCCCCCGCGGGGCTTGCCACCAAGAGGCGCGGGAGCAGCCCTGCAGGCCTAGGGTGCGGCCCCTGCTCACCAGTCCTGGGAAGCCGAGAACCCGGTGCCGATGCAGCCCCAGAGCCCGCCACGCCTGAGCGGCCCGGGCGCTGCCATCACGGTTCGCAGGAAGCAGATCTGCTCACAGGCGCCAGCGGGTACAGCCGCTGAGAAGAACATGCAACAGCAAAGACGACATTAGAGAAGAAGATGGATAAGCCCAGTGAAACAATTAGGAATGACGCTCTGCCAAGACAAGCCACAGAAGGAGAACCAACGTCCAAGAAAGCAAAGTGAGAAAGGGGAGCATATACATAAGAGGTTCGACATACCGTGAAGCATATCTACGGGCAACTATATTCCAATACTCGAGAACCTGGGGCGACAGGGACAGGCTTCTGCAGGGAGGCCACTCTCACCTGCGTCTGCGCAGGAACCGCACAACTGCCTGAGTCCGCCAGGCCTGCACATCTTCAGGCGACCAGTGCCCCTTGTGGCCAAGAAAGAGCCCGGGAGACTGGAGAGGAGCCGTGCCCCTCGCCCCAGAGACGGGCTGGCCTGTTTCAGTGGCAGCCATGGACTGGAAGGTCCCAGCACATCTGTCTGCGAACGTCGCTGTGCCCACAGCTAGCGGGTGGCACCGGCCCAGCGGCTGTGAAGGCTGCTCCACTAAAGCACCACTTTCCCGCCCAGGTCCCCAGGCAGGAACACGGGGAGGCTACTTAGTGCGGCGGCCTGTCTTGTCAGGGAGACGCAGCTGGGCCGGCCGAGGGTCTGGGCAGGCGGGCGGGGGCAAAGCAAAGAGGTTCAGGTCCTTAGAAGGAGGTGCGGATGCCTGTGAGTGGGGTTATCGACCTTCTGGACTCGAGGTCATAAAAAGAAAACAGCCTCGTTACGCTTACAAGTCCTTTGAGAAATGGCGGCGGCAGTGCCCCTCCCTGAGGCCCAGCCCAGGCAGCACTGGACACACATCGCCGCCTCCCCTGCCGAGGACCACGCCCCGTGCCCCCGCGCCGGTCCCTTCCCGCTGCTCCTGCGGCCCAGGTCCCCGGGCAGGTTCCTCAGCCAGCCCTGCCCAGGAGCCCAGGGTTGGCGGAGCCCACGGACTGCCAGCTGCCCGTCCCGGGGACCATGTCCCTGGGGCCGTGTCCAGTGCTCTGTCATCAGCTTTCACCTTGCACCAGGGTGCTTCCCAGCTGCGCAGCCCAGACCGTCGTGGGCAGCACCCCCGTGGCGCGGGGCCCACGTTGGCGACCGTGCCCTGGGTGCCCGTCTGTGGCCTCTGCAGCAGCTGCAGCCCATGAAGCCTGCCTGGGGCTGCCGGCCCTCTCCCGGCCCAGCTGTGGCCTCAGTCTGGGCACAGGGCTGCACGGGAGGTGGGTGGGGCAGCGCAGCCCGTGTGTGTCCTGCCTCCAGGGACAGGCTGGGTCACCCCGTCAGCCTCAGCACTCACCCCGGGGCCTTCCCATCCCGCTCTGCCCTGCACACGCCTGTGTGTGTCTCAGTGCCTCCTCCCGGCAGGCCCCTCTTGGGTCCCCGTCGCTTCCCGTGTGGAATGTGGGATTGGCTCCCTTGGCCCCGAGGGCTCTGGGCTCCAGCTCTCCATCGGGCGCCGGCAGCAGGGAGCTCTGATCTCACAGGACTTCCCGCCCCTCCCCTTGGCCAGCCAGCCTCCCCGGGGCCCCTGCACCCTGGCCACGGGGGACTGGCCCCTGGTGTGGGCGTGTCCCCGCCGTAGGCCTAACCGCGGCTTCCTCGCCCGCAGGTGCCCGAGATCGTGAGTGTGCTGCGCTCCAAGCTGCAGGAGACCCACGGGGAGCACGTCCTGCAGGCCGCACAGCACAGCGTGTACGTCCTGGCGGCCCGGCACCACGCCGCCGTGGTGTCCAGCCTTCTGGGCAGCCCCCTCCCCTTTGACAGGTACGTGGTGCCCACTAGCCTGCGGGGGCGGACGGGGCTCCAGCCACCTGGGCTCCACATTCCGGGGTCACTCCCACCCTGGTGTGGTGTTCACGGGCCCCAGCCCCTCTGCATGGGAGCCTGGAGACCCCGGCCCTGGACTGGGTAGAGACAGGCTCACTCTCATGGGCTGTGCTGGCCAGTCCTCAGGGTTGGTTCTCTGGAGGGCGTCCACCATCATCTGTGAGCAGACCCCTGGGGCCAGGCCCCCTCCTTGAGCCAGGAAGGGGGGATTCGTGGTTGCCAGGGGCGGGGCGAAGTATGGGAGCTCTGACCCGCCCCCCACTCGCACCCCGGTCCCCGAGCTCCCATCGGTGACCCTCAAGTCGCCATCCTCGGGCTCTCAGGGCAGGACTTCTCCGCGCCAGGGCCTGTGCCCGGCCCCGTCTGTGGACCACAGTCCCTGGGGTCCCTCCCCTCCCGCTCCGAGGCCTCCGGGTGGCCGTTGCTGTGGTCCCAGTGCTTCCAGAGCTCAGGGCCCGCTGCTCCTGCCTTGGTTTGCTGTCCACGGCATGGGTGGAGGCCGGCACCCGTGGCCTCCTGGAGGCCCCTGTGCGGGGAGGCAGCACAGCCCTTCCCCGTGGCCACGGCCCGGGTGGCCGGACGCGCCTGCACCTGCCGTCAAGACGTGGGCTCGCGCTGCCTGCTCTGCTCTCACTTAGATGCCGGCGCCGCTCTGGGCCCCCGGTTCCAACGTGTGTGGCTTCTCCCCAGGTCACGCCTGTCAGCGTCTGCCGCTGTCACCTCTCCCGGCCCGTCACTGTCAGCCTTTCTTTGCCCTCGCAGTTTAGGTGTGTTCCTTTTCCAGGGTAAATAGACGCTCTTGGTTGCTGAGGTAGTTGGGGTTAAACCCACTGTAATATTTTGTGTCTTCTCTTGGTCTTTTTTCTTTATCGTCTTCATTGTCCTTTTTAGATTGACAGGGTCCTTTTTACAATTTCATCTTCCACTCAATGAGTCTGGAAGTTGCACACTCTGTGTTCTCCAGCGGTGGCCCTGAGAACGACCGCGTGGGCACAGCGTCCCTGGGCAGTGCAGGCCTCTGCAGGGGCGGCCCCCTGCCCTGCCCGTCATCGTCATGGCTGCTCTGTGCAGGCAGTGTGTCTGCCCACACACCCGCCCCTCAGCTCTGCGTCCCTGCCTTTCGTGGGTGCGGCTCACGCAGAGGAGCACGCACACTGCCACAGGCCCTTGGGGGGGCCTCAGCCGCGCGCAGCGGGAGACGGGGCAGGCATCCAGCCTCTACTAGGCTCCGTGCCTGCTCGGTCGAAACTCCCTGAAAGGTCGCCGCTGTCTGACTGCTGTTGCCAGAAGTGTGTTTTGCCTGACCTTGAACATGGCGTCAGTGGAGCCCTCTAGACTTTCTCCTGCTTCTTTTGCTGTCCTCGGGGTGCAGGGTGCTGCTGTCCCTCCTCTCCTGCTGTGCCAGTGCTTTGCGTGTTCATAGGAGCGGGGTCGTCAGGGCAGGGTGAGCACAGTGCGGCCAGGGCCCAATCTGCCCACCACCCGCTGCCTCTGAGCCAACGATGGGCTTTACACTTGTAAACGGTTGGGGAAAAGTCCAAAGAATTATATTTCATGTCCGGAAAGTCACATGCAACCGGAACGTCCATGTCCGGGGTGGCGTTCCGGGAGCGAGCACACCTTCGTTTCCTTGTCCGTGCCCGTGGCTGCCGTCGCCGCATCACAGCAGAGCTGCCTGGTGTGCAGAGACTGGGCGGCAAGGGGCCCTGGCGCCCTCCCGCTGGAGCGCACCCCCCAGAGCCCCGTGCGGCTCCTGGGGGCGACAAGCCCCACTTCCGTGCGTCTGAACGTGCATTTATTCAGCTGTCCTTCTCGGAGGTTATTTGCCAGAGTTTGGGACTCGAGCTGGGCGCGTGCTTTCTTTGAGTCTGAGTAAGAGGACATGTCCTTTTCTGGCTCCTGTGAGTCCAGGTAGTGCCGAGGTCGTGAGGGACACACACCAGGTGCCCCTTGTCTATGGCGCTCTGCACCTTTGGGGGGTGGGGGGCATGGGTGTCCATTCCTTGTCCTGCCAGGTGGCTACCGGGCTTCCTGAACCTGTGAGTTGGTGTCTGTCATCAGCTCTGACTGGTTTTCAGCCCACCTCTTCAGACACTCTCTCGAATGTCTGCCAGACCTTTTCGCCCCACCCCCTACGTGTCTGTTTCTGAATTTCCGCTGTGATTGTTCTCTGCTGGGTTCTGGGTAACTCCCTCCATTTATCTTCCAGTTCACTGTTTCTCTCTCCTGCTGTATCCAGGCTGGTGCCAAATATGTCACTGAGTGCAGGGTTAGGTGTCTCAATTTTTTTTTTTTTTTCTTTTTGGCCACACCGCGTAGCGTGTAGGATCTAGTCCCCCGATCAGGGTTCGAACCCGGGCCCCCTGCATTGGGAGCGCAGAGTCTTGACCACTGGACCGCCAGGGAAGTCCCTGTGTCTCATTTCTAAAGGGCTGTTGGTTGGCTTCCAAATGTGCTCTATTTTTAGAATTTCCGAGTCCAGTTAGATATCTGGAGTATGTCACTTCTCTCCGTAAACGTGACGCACAGCCGCCTCCCGTGTGTCTGAGCACCCGGGGTCTGCAGGCTGCTCGGGCCTCCTGCAGCCTCCGCCTGACCTCACTCACATGCCTGCCTGCCTTGGCCACGTGCTGCTCAGTGCGGGAAAAGTGACTTGTAGGCGCCCCCGAGGCCTGGGGTGGCGCTGCCCCCCTCCAAGGAAGTCCAGTGTCTGCTCTGGCAGCTCCGGGGACGCCTCCTCTCCCTGCCCCTGTACCAGGGAGATGATCTGCCCTTTCTTGCCAGCTCTGCTCACCCCTGGGCCGCCTGACTGCAGGCCACTGGGTCAGAGGAAGGGGTGAGTTCGGGTCTGAGGTCAGGGTGCCGCTCGTGGCCTGGCTGGAGCTGAGGCTGCTGGGCACGACAGGGGCCGGCAGTGGCCTCGGCGTGACCGTCCTCCTGCCCCACTCCAGCCACACCTGCACCCTGTGGAGGGCGCTGGCCGTGGAGCCCGGCCTCGCCACACAGGTCCTGGGGCTGCTCCTGGAGAAGATGAGCGGGGACGTGCCGTTCAAGGAGAGCCGGGCCTTCCTGCTGAGCAGCGCACCCGACCGCGTGGCCACCCTGCTGCCCCTTGCGGTGAGTGAGCTCTGGGGCGGCACGCCTGGCCCCTCCCCCATCCCCCCTCCCCGCTGCTGGTCCAGGAGGCTGGTAAGGGGCCGCGTGGCCGCTGCGGGAGGGCCCCTGGGGGGGGGCCTGGGTGGCACCCTGCAGGCACCTGGCAGCTGACTGGGGCACCGGAGCAGGCGAGCTTGGAGCCCAGGCTCGTAAAGGCCCCGCAGGTGTCGGTCCCCGAGGGAGCGCCCTCTGTTTCACCCTGCAGAAAAAGAATAAACCCAGCTTGGCAGCGTTTCCACATGAGAGTTTCCTCCCCCTCCTGCTAAGGCACCGAGAGCAAATGCTGGGAGCCCGTCCCCCCGCGGCCACACTGCCCCGGGCCCGCCTCCTGCCCCCGAGGGCCCGCCTCCTGCTGCTCCCAGGGCCCAAGACTTCTGGGGACACGGGGTACCTGCTAAGGAAGTGGGGCTTCAGGCTAGCTTGGGTCCTGGGGTGCAGGGTCCAGCCTTCGCCGTGGCCGGCCTCATTAGACCTGGCGTGGGGCGGGGAGGACTGAGGCTGAGGTGGCACTGTCCCCAGGCCACCTGTGCGCTGTACGAGGTTGCGTCTGCCCCGGCATCTGGGCCGGCGGTGCTGGAGCTCTACCCCCAGCTGTTCGCGGCACTGCTGCTGCGGGTCAGCTGCACCGTGGGTGTCCAGCTGCCCAGGAACCTGCAGGCCAAGGAGAGGAAGAGCGCCAGCTCAGGCCTGGCCTCACGGAGCCTCGAACCCTGCAGGTAAGCGGGCCCCACCTTGCGCCCCTGGCACCCTCGTCTGTGGGCTGCTGTCCCTGCTGGGGGTGCAGCTTCCCTGGGCTGCGGGAGGGATGGGGACAGTCGGGGCGGGGCTTCCTGGGGACATCAGATGGGTCGTGAACTGCGCCTTCTTTGGGAGGGCAGAGTGTGAGGGACGCTTGGGCATGGCAGGGTGTGCGTGAGCCCGCTCTGTGTTTGCGACCTCAGTCTTCAGCTCCAACTTCTGGCTCTTCCTACACTTGACTGGGGCCCCCCACCTTCGGACAGAAACTCTGCAGCAGCCTCCCTGCCTCCCCTGAGCGGCCTCTCACCTGGGTTGGCCCCGGCTCCCAGCCCTGTTGGGGAGGGCCCAGCTGCCACACGGGTGATGCCGGGTTGGCTCAGAGCCAGGCCCCTGGTGCCACTGGCCTGTGCAGGCACCTTCCCCTTGCCTCTCGTTGGGGTTTGGGGCCCTGGGTCCTGGGGCAGGAGCCTGGGGACGGCGGGGTGGAGCTGTTTCAGCTCCTGGGGACATTCCTGGTCCCCCTGGTGGCTCTTCGGGGCTCCAAACAGCTGTCTGGGGCCACAGGATGAGCAGAGGAAGCTGACGCCCCGGGGCCACCGGAGCCTGAGTAACTGTCAGCCTGGCCGCCTCCCCACCCTTCCCCAGTGTCTGGCTGGGGACACACGAGGGACAGAGTCAGCTCTCCCCGCCCCACTGCAGGGCTGCCCCACCGCAGAACTAACACGTCCACTCCAGCGAAGGCTGTGTGTCAGGAGGCCTGGCCTGACTGTGCAGACCGGGTGGAAATGTGAATGGCCCAGCGGACACGGCCCAAGCAACCCCGGGCCTAGCACACGGGCTCCAGCACCGTGGTCTGAGCTGTGGGGCCTACAGCCCCATGGCCCAAAGAGGGGTTCTGGGGGGGCCACCCCTGAGCCAGGATGCGTGCAGTGCCAGGCACAGGCCTTGGCTCTGACGGAGGCCATTAGTCAGCAAGTCAGACCCTTGCAAACGCCACACCCCCAGAAAGTCTGGGCAGTAGGGTGAACAGGCAGGGGAGGCACCTCATCTGAATTGTCGAACAGGCAGGGGAGGCACCTCATCTGAACTGTCGACCTGCTCCTCGGCCAGACCTGCCCCTCACCACTGCCCGTTCGCTGTAGCCAGGGGGTACCTCTTCTGGGCCTTGAGACCCTGGAGCAGGGTGTGGAGCCAGGGGCAGACCTGCTGGGCCCTAGCTGTGGCCCGGCCCTGCCCACACCGTGCGGGACTCCTTGGCAGGCACCGTGGGCATCTGCCCGGTGACCGCGTGGCTGGAATGGTTTTCTGTGCCTGCAGTTGGTGTGGGCGCCCCACATCCAGGGCCCCCCCCCCCCGCCCCCGTGTCTGGGCCTCTGCTGGGATTGCAGAGCTCCTGGGACAGTGGGAGCCACCTTCCAGTATCTTCCCTGGGGTGGGGACCCAGCTGGGTATAGTCTGTGGACGCACAGCCGGGGAGCCTGTCCAGCTGTCGGTGGACACCAGATCCCTCCCCGCCCCCACCAAGGGCACCCCCACAGCCCTCATTGCACCCCGGGACGACCATGAGGCTGGAGCTGGGCCCAGGTGGGGGCAGCGGGTTGTGTGCGTATGGCGGGCTCGGAGGAGTCTACCAGCATCTGCTCCCCGGGCTGCCGGGACCCCTGGACCAGGCCCAGCCACGGGGCCTCCAAAAGTGCGTCAGACTCCCCCACAGCCACCCCCGCCCCTCCCCGGACGTGAGGCCTGTACTGCGCAGCTGGCGAGACCTGGCCCTCACGCTCCAAGCGCCTAGGCCCCTGGCTGCCCCTGCACCCCAGCGGCTGAGCCGTCGAGGTCACAGGAAGACCCCGTGCAGCTGACGCCTGACCGCCCCGAGGACGGTCCAGCGCACTGCCCTGGAGGCGGGCACGTGCCCTTGGGCCAGGAGCCCCGGGGACGGCGTCTACGTTGACACGCACTCACGTCTGAGGGCCCACACAGGCCCTGACACGTGAGGTGGTCGATGTCAGGAGAGAGGGGGTCAGCATGGGGCTGGGGGCCGCGGCCCTAAGGCCCTCCCTGTGCGGCCCTGGGGACCCTGACGTGCTGTCTCTCCGGGCCGCAGGTCGTGGTGTGAGTTTCTGCCAGGTCCGTGTTGGGCCAGCCCTGCTGTCCCCAGTCCTGTCTGTGGGGTCCTGCCCCTGCTGCCTGCTCACTGGCAGCCCTGCACCCTCTGCCTGAGCTGGGGGAGGGTTCATCAAATGAGGGGGGCGGACGCGCAATCCCGGCTGGTTTCTGCCTCCTTGGGCCCCTCCCACGAGAGAGAGGGCCAGCTGGGCGTGGCAGACGGGGCTGCCTGGCCCAGGCAGGAGTCAGGCTCTGAGCTGCCTTTTGAGTTCATTTTTATGAAGGGTTTTCTCCATTTTCTTTTTCACCTTTTTTTTTTTTTTTTTAAATTAAATGAAGGTCTTTAAGGCAGGTGAAAACAGCTGATTGTCACCCTAAAATTAACCTGAGGGCCTTGCCTGCTCCAGGGGGCCTAGGGGACACTACCTGCAGAGCCCCCAGCTGCCCCTCATGGGGGCTGGGGAGACAGGAGCAGTCTGCCTGAGACCAGAGGGTCCACAGTGGTGCCCAGATGAGGGGGAGGGGAGAGCCCAGAGCCTGCGCCCCACAGGATCCTGCTGGTAGGGAGCAGGCTGGGTAGCCCCAGGGCATGTCTGCCAGCAGCACAGGTGTGTGGCCTGAGCTGGGAGCCCTGCCAGCCGCACCCGTGTCTCCGCAGCTCCGCAGTGGATGCGCTGCAGGCCGTGCTTCTCCGAGGCGGCAACGATGACGTGGTGCAGCGCATGGAACTGGAGGGGGGCTGGCAGCTGCTCAGGACCTCGGCCGGGCACGAGGAAGGGGTCACCCGGCTGGCCAGGTGAGCAAGCCCGGCCCGCGCACCCCAGTTCTGGTGCTGGCTGGGCTCTAACAAGCCAGGTACTGTTCAGGTACCATCCGGGGGCCCCCAGTGGCGCCTGGGAGGGGGCCCAGCATGAGGAGCTGGTGCGTGGGGGCAGCGGGGTGGCCGTGAAGGCAGCTGTGGTCTCTAGGCGCGGCGGGCTGGGAGGGGCGCGTCTGGAGGGGGAGGACGTGCAGGGCCCGGCAGCCAGGTGGGGGGCTCACGGGCTGGAGGGCGCAGACAGTGCAGGCTGGGAGGCAGAAGTGCCCCCAGGCCCACGTGGGAGCGGGACGTGCTCGGGGGAGGCCTGAGGCCCCAGCCCTGCCCAGTGTAGCCTCCTTCCCAGCGCCATGGCCAAGTTCGCGGGCCCCCGGCTGCCCCTGATGATGAAGGCGCTCTTCGCCACACAGAGCAGCGTGTACGAGATGCAGAGGGTCAGCTCCACAGCCTTCCTGGCCGAGGTAGGAGCCACGTGCTCTGGATCACGAATAGGGACAGCAGGGACCCCTCCCCGACAGGCAGGCTCAGGCCACCCCCTGGAAAACCTGCCCCAGGCCATGGCAGCAGGGGCCAGGGTGGGGCTGGGTCAGGAGTTCCGGGGAGGCCAGGAGCCCAGGCTTGGCATACAGGCCTCAGCTGGCCTTCGCCACGTCCCCTCCTCAAAGTGACCCGCGACTGGGAGGGCTGCCCAGTGCAGCGGTGGGGAGGGGGCGGGGCGGTCAGAGCGCCTCTGCCCCCAGCTGCTTAGCAGCAACACGGCGAACGACCTGATGCTCCTGGAGTCCCTGCTGGACAACCTGCTGGCGCGGCAGAAGGACACGTGTGCCCGTGTGCGGAGACTGGCGCTCCGGGGCCTGGCCAACGTTGCCTCGGGCTCCCCGGATAAGGTGAGGGGCTGGCCAGCCCTCTGGGGCCCTGTCCGCGGGAGAGAGACGGCAGAGCTGCAGCCAGTGAGGAGACCCAGGTGGGCGCGGTGCAGGCGGTGGGCATGGGCGTGGAGATGGCACCGGGAGGGTGGGGGGCTGGGCCATTCCACAGCATGACCTGGGCACACAGGTGTGTGTGGCATCCCCAGGTACGGGCCCACGGCCCCCAACTCCTGACGGCCATGATTGGTGGGCTGGACGACGGTGATGACCCGCACAGCCTGGTGGCCCTGGAGGCCATGGTGGGCCTCGCGAGGCTGCTGGACCTGGTGGAGGCCTGGGACCTGCGCTCGGTGCTGCTGCACGTTGCCATCCGCATCCGGCCCTTCTTCGACAGTGTAGGCCCCGCCAGCCCCGCCCCTGGCCATGCCAGCCTGGCTCCTGCCCCTTCCTCTCCGGGCCCCGCGAGCCGTGTCACCACCACCACTGCACGCTCAGGGCCGGGCCCCGGGGTCGACGGATGGGCAGCTCTGGGGAGGGCCCCATAGGGTGACACCTGCCGCCCGCCACCCCGCCCCAGGAAAAGGTGGAGTTCCGTTCTGCGTCCATCCGCCTCTTCGGGCACCTCAACAAAGCCTGCCAGGGGGAGTGCGAGGACGTCTTCCTGGAGCAGCTTGTTGGCGGGCTCGCGCCCCTGCTGCTGCACCTGCAGGACCCCCAGCCCCCAGTGGCTGCTGTGAGTAGCCAGAGGGTATGGGCAGGCCGGGCCGGACTCACTCAGGGGCTCAGGGACTCAGGGCTCGGCCTGTGCCCTGCAGGCCTGCAGGTTCGCTTTGCGCATGTGCGGCCCCAACCTGGAGTGTGAGGAGCTGGCAGCCATCTTCCAGAAGCACCTGCAGGAGGGCCGGGGCCTGCACTTCGGAGAGTTCCTCAACACCACCTGCAAGCACCTGGTGAGGGGCAGGGGGGCGGGGTGGGGGCGGGGCGGCGGGGTGGGGGCGGGGCCTGACTGAGGGCCTCCTGCAGATGCACCACTTCCCCGACCTGCTGGGCCGCCTGCTGAGCACCAGCCTGTTCTACTTCAAGAGCAGCTGGGAGGACATCCGTGCCGCGGCCCCCATGCTCACAGGTGAGGCTGCCCTGGGCCCCCCCTCCCGCTCCCCACGGCGCGGGCCCTGACCCCGGCCCCACCCCCGCCCCGCAGGGTTCCTGGCGCTGCACGTGGAGGCTGAGCGCCGGCCGCAGGTGGACCTGGAACAGCTCCTGGCGGGTGAGCCCCAGCCCTGGGCCCCGCCCCCCACGGCGCGCTGGGCCGCGCTGACCCTGTGGGCACCAGGGGGGACTAAGTGATTTTCCTGGATTTCAAGGATTTTTTCCCTGTCACTGGTGACCTCATCGTCTCTAGTAATTCACGGAAACTTCTTAACTGTTCCAAAAGAGCTTAAAAAACACTAAAAAAGGAAAAACTATCTTTCCGTTGGCTCCTGAGCCCTCCCGGCAGAGGCCTGTCTTAGGAGGGCGGTGGGCGGGCGGCCCCCACGCACAGGGTGGGGTGTGAGCCTCGGGGTCCTGGCCCCCAGGCTCAGCGCGCCAAGAAAGGGGGGCTCAGCCTTAGCCGCAGCTGCTAGCGGGGTGTGGGCGGGACCGCAGGCTCGGACGTTCAGTTCTCAGGGGGCCGCAGAGGAGCCCCCAGCAGCGGCTCCCTGTCCCCCAGCGCTCCAGCTCCTGCTCAAGGACCCGGCCCCCGCGGTGCGCGTGAAAGCTGCGGAGACTCTGGGCCGCCTGGTGAAGTTCGCCTGAGGCTCCCGTGGCAGCGCTGCCCCTACACGCAATACCGGCCTTGCCGGCCCGAACCGAACCTCCGAGATGGGGCCCTAAGGAGCCCCCTGCCCGAGGGGAGCCCCCAGGCCCACACAGCAAGGGAGGGCCGGGGCCACGAGGGTGGGCAAGTCGCTGTCCCCCCCCCCCCCAATAAAGCCATTTGCTGCTCAGCAGGTGCCGCGGTGACGTGGCCTCTTCTTCCGGGCAGGTCAGCAGGCCCCCTCCCCCGTTAGGCATCCTGACTCAGAGAAGATCACGCCAGCAGGAGAAACGCCTCTATTGAGTGTCCTGAGCACACACACAGCCCAGCCCCACCTGCCCCGCCCCGGGAAGCAGGGCCACCTAGGTGAAGAGGCGGAGGGTGCCGTCAGCCCCGGCGGAGAAGACCCACGGCTGGGTGGGGTGGAAGGCCACGTCCAGCACCCCCAGGTCTTTGGTCAGGCTGTGCCCCTTGAGCACCTTCACAGGCACCAGCAGTGGGTTCTGCAGCAGGTCACTGTGGGGAAGGGAGAGGCTCAGGACGTGGGCGGCACAGTCCCCACGGGGGGGCGGGCGGGCGGGCGGGCGGGCAGGCACCGGCACTCACTTGTACACCATCCCGTGGCAGACGATGACACTGCCGTCGTCGGAGCCAGATGCGAAAAGCGGGTACCGGGGGTGGAAGGCCACGGCCCGGAGGGCCTTCTTGTGGTGCCTGAGGGGGGGACCAGGTTGAGGGGGGTCCGGGGGGGGGCGAGTAGGGAGCAGCCTGCCACCCGCCAGCACCTCACCTCAGCACCCTGTACGGCCTGGTGGACAGGTCCAGGTCAAACCACACCAGCTTGCTGTCATAGCTGCCACAGAGGACGTTGTCGCCTGGGAGAAGACGCGGTGGTAGGGCCCTGGTGGCCCCCTCACCTGCCCCCCACCAACCAGGGCGCCCCCTCACCTGCCGGGTGCACTGCCAGGCTGGACACCCACTTGCAGTTGGGCGTCAGCTTCTTGGTGAGCTCCTGGCGCAGCAGGTGGTAGAGGCGGACGCTGCGCTGGGAAGCCACGAGCAGGAAGGGCCGCACGGGGTGGAAGGCCACGCGCTGCACCTGGCCGTGGCCGCGGCGGAAAGGGCTCTGGCTGCGGCGCCGGCTCAACTGGTGGATCAGCACCTGGCTGCGGCCCGGGGTGGCCAGCACCACAGCCATGTAGTCCCCACGACCGTGCCACGTCGCCTGCGTCACTGGCTGCGGGAAGGGAGGTGGGCTCAGCCGCGCCCCCCCCACCCCGCCCCCACCCTCCCCCACAGCCCCCGCACCTTGCCGTGGCAGATGCGCAGCCGCAGGCCGACCCGGCGCTCCTCCTCCGAGGCTTCCAGCCAGTGGGCGGGCTGCGCAGCAGGCTCCACGGGCGGGGTGAAGGCGCTCAGCAGCTGGTCCGTGCTGCCCACCACCAGCCGGTCCCCCAGGGCCGGGTTCAGCAGCAGGACCGCGTCCTCCCTGCGGCCAGAGCCCAGTGAAGGCCCCCGGGCACAGGACCACCCCCGCCGGCGCGGGCACCCCTGGCCTCATACTCACACTGCCACGGCCACCAGGCAGACGGTCGGGCGGGGGTTCCAGGCGACACTCTTCACCACGCCCCCCACGGGCACGGTCCTCACGCAGCGGGCGGAGGCCACCTCCCAGAGCCGCACAGAGCCATCGTCTGAGCCTGAGCACAGCGGATGGCCTCTCAGCACCCAGCCCCCAGCCCAGTCCCCACGGCAGGGCTGCCCCACCCGAGGCCCACCTGATGCCAGCCACTGGCCACCCGGGGAGACACTGAGGCAGCGGACGAGGTCGCTGTGGCCCCTGTAGACCTGCAGAGAAGGGGCAGTGAGGGACGGAGCCCCGGAACTGTGTGCTACCAGCCACCCCGCCCTGTCTGCTCACCAGGGCCTGGCACGTGGGGAAAGGCTGCAGGTCGCGTGGCCGGGGCAGTCTGGGGATGAGGTCCTCAGGGTCCACGTTCACCTGGGAGAGGAGCACGTGGGGTCAGCTGTGTCCACCCCCACTCCCCGACCCCGCCCGGGAGCCCCCCCACCCCACCCCCACCGCACACCCTCATCTTGCGCTGGCGTGGGCACAGGTAGAGGTCAAGGCAGCGCTCGAAGCGCTCCTGGATGAAGCGGCTGTACGCAGGCACGGCCCGCAGGCTCGGGAACCGGCGCGGCAGGAAGTTGAGCCTCCTCTCGTCGGGCTCCCGCTGCTCCCAGGCCATGCGCTGTGAAGGCAGGGGTGAGCCCGGAGCGCGGGGCGGGCGGGGGCAGGCAGACCCCAGCCTGCACCAGGCTCACCTCCTCCTCGCTGGGCAGGTACTCGGGAGGTGGGTTGTAGGACTCCGCGTGGCCCGGTAGGGCCAGCTTGGGTGCAGGCACGTGCATTTTGTGGCGGCCCAGCACCGCGTCGGGGTCCTCTTGGGCCCACAGGTCGTAGAAGCTGGGGGTGGAGTCCCGAGGACGGCGAGGCTGGATCCAGCCCATCTTAATGGCGTGCACCATGCGGGAGACCTGCAGAGGCGGCAGGGTCAGGGCGGGGGCGGGGGCGGGTGGCCGGGGGCGGGCCGGAGGATGGGGCCGCACCCACCTTCTCCTTCTCCACCAGGGACGGGATAAAGCTGCGCTTGTCAGCAGGCCGGTTGGTCACCGGGTGTATCATGAGGTCCCCACTGAAGAAGTCCACAGCCGGCTGCGGGGACGAACAGAGGGGTGTGGGCCCGGGCCCCGCAGGTGCCCCCAGACCCTGGGGACAGCGGATGCCCCTTACCTCGTACGGGTTGAAGCTCACGTCCCCAAACTGGCCCCTCTGCAGTCGCCGCACCAGGGCCACCTGTTCATCTGTCAGCTGCACGCTGTGCCCCGTCATCCGGTCCCGCACCGTACGCCTAGGGGCTGCCCGTCAGAGCCGAGGCCCTGCCCTATCCCGCCCCGCCCCAGCCCACCGGCCCTGTCCCACCCCACAGTCTCCGCCCTACGCCCGCACCAGTAGTCAGGGTTGTCCATCTTGTCCAGAAACTGGTCCAGCTCGTCAGGGGTGCGCAGGGGCTTATAGATGCGCCTGCCGTCCAGGTCGTAGCCCACGTGGGGGAAGTCATCATACCACTCCAAGGGCACGTTGCCCACCGTGTTCCGGATGTCCTGGGGCAGGAGGCCAGCATATCGGCACTGGACACCCACTGTGCCCACCCGTCCCTCCAAGCCCCCCAAGAGATACAGACGAGGGGGAAAGGTGAGAGCAAAGGGACTGGCTTCAAGGCTAGCCAGGGGCAGCACCCGGGCTAGCACCCTGACTTGTGCCTTCTCCCTGGGGTGTGACGTGGCAGGGCAGCCGGCACTGTCCCCCACCACCCCCCTGACCCTCAGAGGCGCCGGAGCTGTACCTTCACATTTTCCACTGAAGTGGTGCCAACCCCAGAGCCTCCCCCCTGGATTCCTTGGCCAGGGCTCTGGGCAGCCACAGGCAAGGGTGACCTCATCGCCCGTGGGCTCCCTCCCCTGGCGGGGGGCCTTAGGCAAAACCGGGTAGCCACGGGCAGGGACTCAGGGAAGACCCCACCAACCCACTATAAAGGGAGGCCGAACCCACCGCACTGTGACCTGCAAGCGTTCAGGGACTCCCCAGCCCCCCAGCCCTGCCCCCCACCCCACCCTCAGCGGGCAGAGCAGCCACATTCCTGGACACACATTCCTGGTCGAGGCCCCTGCCAGCCGCCACCCTCCCTCCACCCAGCACAGAGACTGCTGCCCAGGCGGCCGCTTCCTGCAACAGTAGCCCCGGGAGGAGTGGCCCCGATGAGACAGCACGGCCGGGAGCCTGGGAACCCCTCCCCCTTACAGCAGGACAGGACCCTCTGGGAGCTGCCCCTCTGCACCTGCCCCCAGCCCCCAACCTGCCGACTTCAGTTCTCCCCGCTTGCCCATCCTCCAGGTGTGCCCCCGCGTGTCCCTGCCGTTGCTAGGAATGCCCTTCCTTCTCCTGTGACCCCCAAGTCTACACAGCCATCCCTGAATTGGGCAGACAGGGGGTGGGGGGTCGGTGGCCCAGAGAAAAGGCCCACGGGAGCACTCAGCAGGGGAACGGGGTGCTGGTGGGGGGTTCTCCAGAGCAGGAGCGCAGGCAGGACCCGGTAAAGTGGGCACACACAGCCTGGGCCAGACCTGGAGGTTGATGCCAGGAGGGGGCAGGTGCAGGAGACGCAGGCTGTGTCATCAGGCGACCCCAGGCACAAACCTGAGAGGGGGCGGCCAAGGGAGCTGGGGCTGAGCTCCAGCCCCTCAAAGCTGTTCTCTGCCCCCTCCTCCGGGCACAGGAGGCCCAAGTGTACATGCGAGGGAGAGACAGACAGGGTGTGGCTAGGCGCTGGGGCCAGGGCAGCTGGGTTAACTTGGTCATGCCAAGCAAGAAGGCCCGGGTCATGGGTCCTGCTTGACCCTCCTGCCCCCCCGCAAAGAGGGAGGAGAGGAGGCGGCACAGCCCTGGTACCACCCGGAAGGGGGCTCCCACTTTCCCCGCATCCCCCAAAGACAGCAAGATGCTCCAGGCCCCTTCACCGTGGCGCGAGAAGGCAGAGGGACAGAGGGCCCCTGCTCCAAGCGGCCTCCAGGGGCTGGGAGGCGGGGAGGAGGGCGGGCCGGCGCGGGGGAGGGGCCGCCTCGGCTATAAAGGCCCGGCCCGCGGCCCTGCTCCAGCCCGGGACGCACACGTGCGCGCGGCGCCGCAGCCGCCACCGCGGGAGCCCTGAGACCCCGCGCCCCCCTGGCCTGGGCGGCGGCGGCGGCGGCGGCGGCAGCGGCAGCGGCATGCACGGCGCGCCGCGGAGCTGACGGCGGCCGCCGGCCCCATGTCCTTCGCAATGCTGCGCTCGGCACCGCCCGGCCGCTACCTGTACCCCGAGGTGAGCCCGCTGTCGGAGGACGAGGACCGCGGCAGCGAGAGTTCGGGCTCCGACGAGAAGCCCTGCCGCGTGCACGCGGCGCGCTGTGGCCTCCAGGGCGCCCGGAGACGGGCCGGGGGCCGGCGGGCGGGGGGCGGCGGCCCGGGGCCTGGGGGGCGGCCGGGCCGCGAGCCCCGACAGCGGCACACGGCGAACGCGCGCGAGCGGGACCGGACGAACAGCGTGAACACGGCCTTCACGGCGCTGCGCACGCTCATCCCCACCGAGCCGGCCGACCGCAAGCTCTCCAAGATCGAGACCCTGCGCCTGGCCTCCAGCTACATCTCGCACCTGGGCAACGTGTTGCTGGTGGGTGAGGCCTGCGGCGACGGGCAACCCTGCCACTCGGGGCCCGCCTTCTTCCACGCGGCGCGCTCTGGCAGCCCTCCACCCCCGCCGCCCCCGCCCCCCGCCCGCGACGGCGAGAACGCCCAGCCCAAACAGATCTGCACCTTCTGCCTCAGCAACCAAAGAAAGTTGGTGAGTGTTGGCCGCGGGTCGTCCCCAGAAAGGGAGGCGAGGAGGATGGGGCGCCCCCCACCTCCAAACCACCCGTGCAACCCACACCTGCCTGGCAGAGAGGGCGGGGCCAGAGGCAGGCAGAGCTCCCCAGCAGCACCTGTTAACCCACGCGCAACCCCGAGCCCAGGGAGGGGCGCAGCACGAGGAGGAGGGCGCAGCTGGAGCAGGCGGGGCCGGGCCTTCCCTGGACATTCTCCCCACGAGTCCCCTGGACACAGGCTCCCACGGGGACCAGACAAGGGCACCCAGGGCCAGATGGGGGAGGAGACCGAGGCAGGGCCGACAACAACTTGGAAGCTAGGGGACCAAACCAGGGTTGGATCAAGCAACTCTGGCCACCCACCCTGCCCCCAGGGGAAGGAGACTCAGGGGCAGTGGGATCCACTTGCTCTGCCACTGGCCTAAGGCTTATCGGGCACCTGCCTGCCCTCCCCTGGCCCCTGCCCCTGGGGCTGCCCACTCGGACACCAGTGCAGCTGTGGGACCCGCTGGCAGGAGCGGGCAGGAGACCTGGGGGCTGGGGGAGAGGCCCCGCTGCGGGAGACGCTGGCTGGCCGTGATTTACGGCTTCTGCTGTGCTTGGTGGCACCGGAAAAGCAGGGTGAGCAGGCAAGAAGAAAATACGGCGCGGCTCTCCCCAATCCCCACTTCCTCTCCAGACGGCACGCGCGAGCTCCTGGGGCCTGAACATCTGGGAAATTTAATTTCCCAATTTCGGCTGTGCAGCAGCGTACTCTCCTCCCCAAGCCGCTTGGGGAAGCTGGGCTGAGCGCGGAAGGGGGCTGCTTTCAGCACCCACCACCCGAGACAGCACCCAGTGGGGAAGCCCAGAGGTGCAGGCTGGCACTGGTCTCTGAGCGGGCCCTGACACTGCCCTCCCCTCTGCAGAGCAAGGACCGAGACAGAAAGACGGCGATTCGGAGTTAGAGGCGGACGCTGCTGGGCCATCCACGGAGATGGATCCACCCATGGACCTGACTCGGGCACAGGCCTCCCTGAGGGCACCCCCCAGGCCAGCCCTGCCCCAGCTGTGAGCGGGGCCGATGGACAGACAGGCGGTGGGACTCAGAGTTGGCCCAGCACTTGCCCAGCCCCACTGGAACTTTCCGTGCTGGCTCCCAACCTGGTTTTCTTCTGGTCACTATGTGCTGGCATCTTTGATATGATAATATAAAGTCTGGAAACTTTGTATAATTAAAAACAAAACAATTATCTTCTAAACACGGACGCACACTGTCCTCTCCAGCAATTGAGAATCCACCCTGAGCCGGAGCCCGAGCCCACCCTCCCACCCCTCAGGGCTCCGTGGGCCAAGGTACCCAGTTCTCGGGGAAGGTCCCCCACTTTCCAGGGCTCAGGGCCGGCGCGCCCAGCACCCCCGACCAGGGAACTACGGCGTGGGGTCCGAAGGAGACCTGTGAAGGGAGAGAAGGGCGAGGGACCGAGCAGGACACAGGCAGCCCAGGCCCGGGAGCAGTGTCGCTCCACCCCCGCTCCGAGAGCCTGCCTGGTGTCCCAGTGCCCTGAAGGGTCCTCAGTGCTTGCGGCATGCAACTCACTGGTCGGTCTTCAGGGCCTCGGCACCTCAGCCTCTGCCCACGGAGCCCCACGAAGTGGGCATGTAGGGGAGGGTAAGCGAGGGGCACTGTCTGGCAGAGTGAGTCCCCAGGCCTGAGGGCGTGGACCAGGTGGCAGCTGCCTGTGTGTACCCCTGGGGCCCACCCCTGCCCCCAGCCCTGCAATTTGGCCCCGGCAGCACTGCTCACACCGGGAGGACCCCTGGCTGCCCACCACCCACCCACCCACCCAACTCCCCCAAAGGCCCCACCTGCCCACGAGGAGGGCAATCCAGGCCTCTCCCCGAGCTGTGCACAGCTGGCAGGCCATTAAAATCTTGCAGGTGACAATTATAGACTAGTGGCGCGAGCTCCACGGGCACAGCAGAGAAGAGAGGTGGGGGCGGCTCTGTGCAGGCCACCCCAGCACCCCCAGGCTGGCCAGCAGCCTGACTTCCGGCCAGCGGGTGGGGAATGGCCATGAGCGCCAGGTGCCAGCCCCGGACCCTGCGAGCCCTCAGCGCAGGCTCAGGGACCCCGGGAGAGGGCAGGTGCCGAGGCCCACGTGGGCACCGCAACAGGGCAGGGCTAGAGCCGCCCCCTCCTCTGAACAGACGGGCTCCAGGGAACCGAGAAGCAGGAAGCGATGGTGTAATTTTGGAGGAAATTCTCAAAGCCAGAGCCATTAAGGACTAGAAGGGGACTGTGTCCAATCTGATAGAAATATAACAGGATAAAAAGTCACAACGGCAGGTTCCACTCAGAGAGAAACCCAACCCCAAATTTCCTCTCCTTAATCCTGCAGGAGCTTACAGCTGGCCAGCCAAAGGGGGGGAGAGGGCATGCTCGGTCACCCCCACCCGCCTGCCTGGAGAGCCAGGACCCAGGAGGAATGTGGGAGTCTGCCTGGGGGATGAGAAAGGCACCCCTTCCGCCCCAGGGCACTGAGGACACTGCGAGAACGCGACCCGCACAGGGGCACGCGGGCAAGCAGGGACGCCTCTCAGGGTCTCCGGCCTGCCTCCCCTGCTCCCCGGGGCACCAGTGCAGTTCTGTGGGGACGGTCTGTGGCCCACCTGCCGCTCACCCACCAGCCTCACCTCTCCATACCTGGGCTAGGTGGGAGTGCACCCTCCCTCACAAATCCTCCCGAAGACGATGGGCGGCAGGGGGCTGCATGCCCTGCACAAAGGCCTGAGAGAAGAGTGCGGGGCGAGGGGGACAGGCAGGGCGAGGCCGGAGGGGCATGGGTGTCAGGGGCCCTTGGAGCCGGTGCAGGAGAGAAGGGGCTGAGGGAGCCTCGGAGATGCCAAGTCAGTAGGAGAGGACAGGCCGTTGGGACGGTCCCCAGGGGCCGGCAGGTCCTGGCACAGGGCGCGTGGGCCAGGCCCTCGGCTGCTGGGCCTGTGACTCCGACAGCGGCTGCAGCTTGGCCAGCCTCGGGCCCGGGCAGTGGGCCCGGTCGCTCCCTGAGCTGCACCGGTAGCAGCAGAGGCTGAGAGCCTGGCCCGCCAGCCAGCAGGAGAGGGAGGGGAGGGGGCGGGGAGGGGCACGCCGTCACCCTCCACCGCTCCAGAAATTCAAACCAGACTGGGGGTGGCGGGCCGGCCCGAGCCCCTGCAGCCCCACGAGAGCCCACTTGGCTACTCACGGCAGCCGCCAGGCCCCCGTCCACCACAAACCCCACTTCCTCCCCAGGACGCCAGCCTCGCCCCTCCACCGAGCCTCCGCGTGCCAGTGCCCCACAGAGGCGGCACGAAAGGAGGGCCCAGCCCGCACCCTGGGCCAGCAGCCACCTCTGCGGGCCAAGCAGGCCTGGAAACGCTCTGATGGCCATCAGGGCCAGGCTGTCAGCTCCCTGTCCCCAGCCTGGGGAACGAGCTGCTGGCGGCACCACGTGATCCATCGCCAGGCCGCCTGCGCCCGCAGGCCAGCCGGCCCCCACCCTGCGCAGCACCTGCGGGCTGCCAGGAAGCACATGTGACCCCGTGGGGGCGGGAGCCCGCCGACCCCTCCAGGGCCCAGACAGCCCCCAGCCTGCGCTCTCCCAGGGGGCCGCCATGCCCCAAGGACGAGCCTTCGGGCGGCAGGGGTCCCCCACCCCCCAGGCTGCACCGGACACGGGCGGCCACCGGCTGATGTGTCGGCTGGGATTTTTCCGCTCTCGCAGAGCCCCCCCCCTCCCCTCCCCCTCCCCAAAGTGGCTGCAGCTGTCAGGACCGCAGATTGGAACTGCAGGTACGGCGCTGGCCCGCTGCCCACCTCCCTCCCGTGTCTGTCTGAGAGAAAGGAAGCCGGCCCACCTCTGGAATCCTTCACTCTCTCCTCGTTCCGCCTCTCCCACCTGTCCCCGGGGAGCGCGGGGTCAGCCGCCCTCGCTCGGGCTCTCTCTTCCCCTTGCCCCTCTCCGATTACAATGCCGGCAGTGTTCCCTCAGCTCCCCCGACACGGAGCCCCCCCCCCGCCCCCCGCCTTCCTGCGCCTCCTCTCTCCCGCACTCCATGGCGGGAGGAGGACAGGCCACGTGCCCCAGGCCACCTGCTGCAGCTGAACCCACACAAGGTGCTGGCAGGATGAGTCCTGAGTCCTGGTCGACGGGCCCAAGGGGAGAAAGCCAGGTCCCACTCGGCCTCTTCCTGTCCCAAAGGCCAAAGCCAGCTGAGGTGATCCTGGCAGGGGTCGGGGTCAGAAGCAGGGCCCACCAGCTGTAGCCAGCCAGGCCAGGGTGGGGCGGGCGAGAAACTCGGAACCCCCTTCCCAAACCTCCTCCGTCAGACTGTCCCTCCCAGTTGCCGTCCTCACAGAAGCGCTGCTGGCCCGACCCACCCCTGAGCCGTCGGACGTCGTGTGGGCACAGGGCCCCTCCAAGGCCACTCCTTGACCCCTGACCAGTGCCTCCACGGCTGCTGGGGTAGAGGGAAGCAAGTCCACTCCCCCGCCAAGGGGTCCATGGGGGAGGGGGAGAGGGCACCGAGGTTGCCCCTGCTCTTGGGTCCACAGATACCCAAGACCCCCACCCACCTGCCCCTCCCCCTCCTGGGGTTGGCCAGGGTCCAGCGGGCATTCCCACATGGGACACCCAAATCTCCGCTCCCTGCAGGCAAGGGCTCCCAGAAACTCCTCTGGGAATGCTGGAGGTGGGCACAGGCTTGGGACCCCCTTGCTAAGTGCCAAAGGCCCACTATGCTGCTTCACACATCCCAGCCCCAGCCCCTCCAAGACCTCATTCGGGAGGACTCGCCCCGAGCCCCTGCCCACACACGGCCAGCCCCCCACCCCGAGCCCTGTCCTCAGCGAGGCAGCCGCGGCCTGGGCTGGGACACGTGCTGGCCCTGCTCAGCAGCCGGCCGCTCACCCGCCTTTCCTACACAACTTGCGCCCCACAAGCCTGCCCAGCCAGCCCCAGTCTACGGCCACACCTCCAGCCCTAGGGCGACACCCACCCCACCCCCGCCCCGCCCCAGGCCCAGCACCCTCCCTCCCACCCGCCTGGCCCGGGAAACTGGCTCCAGTGGGCACAGGGCAGGCCAGGGCCTCTACCACCCAGGTGCCCCAGTGAAAGGGAGGGTGCTGCTATCCTCCAACACCCTCCGCCCTCCCCAGAGGGAACCCTGTCTCCCAAGTGTGACAAGTGGACCCAGGGGGGGCGGCGCTGGCGGGGGGGCACCCCACACACACCCAAACGCAGCGGGCCTGGCTGAGAGGTGGTGCCTGGCAAAGGCAGCCAGGGGCGCCCTGAGGTCACAGCCGCCACACCCACAGCCCCCCACGGCCACCTGTGAGGCCACGGTGTCATCGGGGCCCTCCCAGGCCAGGCGGCCGGGGCGACCCGAGGGTCTGTCGGAGCCTGGCCGTGGGGACGGGGGCCCGCCAGGGAGGCCGGCGGCCCGCGAGGCCGAGACGCACGCTCTGCGCAACAGCTCGAAACCCGAGCCGCGGCTGCGCTGCCAGCAACGAGCGAGCGCCGGGGGCCGAGGGCCGAGGCCGCGCCGGGGGCTGGGGCCGGGGGCGGGGCCCGGAGGACGCGGCTGCCGCTCAGTAGCCGGGAGGCCATTAGCGGCGCCTGGCGGGAGAGCTGGGAGGACCGCAGCCCGGACGCAGATGCGCCCGCCGCCCGCCCACCCTTGCAGGGCCGGGACCCCGGGGGCTCGCAGCCCCGCCCCCACCCCACCCGCCCAAGGCCTCAGCTTCTCCCAGGCCAGAGGCAGGGTGGGGGAACCCCGCTGCTGCGAAGGCCGCCCAGCCCCCCCGCCCCCGCCCCTCCTCCCGGGGCGGCAGCTGGATGAGATCACGTCTGTGGGGGAGGGGTGCAGTGGACTTGTGGGAGCGGGGCTCCCCCCACTCACGGTGGCCAGGACCCCCGCCACGCGTGGCCTGGCAGCACGTTCAGGGGCTGCAGCCCTGTTGCTGCCTGGGATGTGAGCTGGAGGGAAGGTACGGAGAAGGCCAAGGTGCGGAAACAGGACCCAGGTCTCCCGAGAACGAGAACCGTTGCTCACCCGTCAGTGCCTGGGGCCGGGGTCCCCCAAAGCCATGCACGGCAGAGGCCGGCGGTCAGAAGGCCTAGAAACCCCGGGCCTCAAGCCCAGGCCTGAGGGGTGGGCAGGACAGGGACTGGGGAGGGGGAGGTTGGGCACTGCCACACCGCA